ACACTTGTTGGCATCTCTGGGATGTAGTAGCTGCTCTCAAGCTTCAAATTGATCCCGTTTTTCACTGGGATAACGGCCATGCCTACCCCTTGACTTGGAGGAGTTTTCTCCTGCCCGGACTTCTTCTGACGATCCCCAGGTGAAGGTATCCTCATCGAACCATCGTAGGTCGTTAAAGACATGTACGCTAGCCCTGAATCATAGATGGCCTTGTCCTCGAGAGAGTCTTCACTCGTATTAGTGCTATGCACGTGCGACACTGTATTAGCCTGTTTGCTCGAGTTGTTGTTATTCTGCGGGACTGTGATGTCTTTGGCTTTTGGCTTCCACTCCATGGCTTTGGTCTTGTCCAAGGGGTTCTCCTTAAGGTGCTGGTTGATGGCCTCCTTAAGGTGGTCCCTGGGAATCCATCCTTCGGGGTCTTTCTGGAACATCGCTCTAAAGGTCCAGCAGCTTTCCCACCACTCATCCTTTTTGACCCAGTGTTGCTTACATGCCGGGCACTTGTGTGACCCCTCTGGGCCATTCCTAGTCCTCTGATCAGATGATCTTGGAGCGTTGTTTGCGTTGTTGACCCCTGGGGTCTTCTGAGGTTTCCCTTTCTTCCTGAATCCAACCTCCCTTTTAAAGTCGGCAATCAGGGTGCGCAAAAGGTTGCTGGGAGTCCTGTTCTCTCCAGGAGTGCGTCCAGCAGCCTAATCGTCATGGGCCAGCTAGGGTCCCATTCTTCGGTCCCTTTGAGGAAGTCCTGACGAATCTTTGTGTCATTAATAGTCGAGACCGCTAGGTCTCTTGAATCCAGGATGACTTGGTCCAGCTGCTCTGCCCAGGCCTTCCAGTCCCGGGTTCCTTTCTTGTTGATGATTTGATGATACCTTTCATCGATAAGGTTCTTTTCTTCCTCCGCTGAGGGGAGAACCTTCTGTTTGAGTTCTTTGATCTTGTCCCGGGGCGTCAGCTGTATCAGGGTCTCGCCCTGGAGCCCCTCACTGATGGACTTCTTGATCACCTCCTCGATCTGCATCATGGCTTTTTCTCTAGCCTTGAAGCGGTCCAATTGATCCTGGAAGGTCTTCTCTTTGTACCTAAAGAGGTCCTTGGCATCTTGAAGCTTCTCATTGAAGTCTTCCCTTGCTGCCTTATACTTATTTTCTTCGTTGGGAAAGCTTCCTCGGTGGGGCCTCTGCCCTACCTTCTCGAGTAGCTCTTCCCAGCTAGGCCTCAGGGGCTCCTCGAGCACCACGGTCCCTTCTGGGTTAACGTACTCCCAGATGTGGTGCGTTTGAGCCCATGATTTGATACCCCTAATCCATGGGGTCCAGTCAAGGCTTTCCTTGAGTGTGGTGATGTACACCTCCCCTTCTGATATTGGGGCCTAGTGTCATCGTGTGTTTTACCTCCTGCGAGGGATGCACGCGTCACGTTGACTCTGCGTAGTTGTGGGTGTTGCCCCTGAATTTTGCTCTCTTCCTCGCGTCAACCCCAAGGGTGAAGGATATATGGTGCGTTGAGATTCGTGATAGCCTCACAGTTGGTAGAGGAATGCGAAGGATAAAGAGCACCGCAAACCGGGCTCATAACTCTCAGCAAGCTGAGAGCGCGGGCGGAAGGATAAGGGCAGGCACAATTGAGTCCAAACGATGATGCATGTTTTTTATCTATCTGTGCGACATTGAGGGGGTATTTATACGAATAGATACCAATCTGGGACCCGTGGTGGCCCTGAATCAGTGCCAATTCCCGTGTATCCCGATTAGGGCAATGTTCCTCTACTGTATCGATACCTGACTCAAGTCCTTGTGTCTGACCTGCCTCTTTCACCGGAGTTTATACGTGTGCGGATTAGACCGTCAGTCTGCTCCCTCTGACAGGAGTATATATGCCGTCCATGTCACGAGACATAATCCCGTCAAGCCCATGTCTTAGGTTTCCAATGCATTTTGCCGCTAACATCTTGTCTAATGTCTAGGCGCGAGGACAGGTCCCGTTATTCGTGGCTGCTTATATTATCGTGCGACCTACCCACGCAGTATTTCCTACTGCCAATCACGTAGGGTAGGCGAATGCTGGTCGTCTGAGCTGACGTTTCGTAATACTGCCTCCTCCTGCACGAACATTAGGTGCTCGGAGGAGGGGGAGGGGGTAAGTGTAGTAGGTTAATAGCGATCCGTACTCTTTGGCAAACCACCGGGTAATTCTTGGTGTGCCGACGGTGCAAAACGGTGGATGGGATGGGCTCCGTTTTAGGAGCTGGCTGCGTGACCTGGCGATAGCGGGGTGATTTAATTAATTACCTACCCTGGATGCATGGTTCGTCGTCATCCAGGAAAGAGCGGGCGCAGCGCCTTACCGGTGCGGCAGCCGCCTAAAAACAACCTCGGCTAGTCACCTGACTAGACCCTAGGTTCCCACGTCTATTATTAAGCCAACGGCCCAGACCGTTACATGCTGCAACGTACATACAGTAGGTGTATTTCTAGGAAACTATTGTTTCATTCACTCCGCCATGTCCTGCCCTAAAGCACAACAACACTGCGAAAGTAGGGTTGTCTATCTCATTCAGATTCTGTGAGAAACCACTGGGTTGTGCAGGCAGAAGTGAAGTGACACTCCAACAGATGACCTGGCAGTGGTGGAGCCTATATGCCATGGAGGTGCTGGTGGCAGCTGACAGATTCCTATAACAAGTAAGCTTTCCGGAAGCTTCGCAACGGAAAGTACGCACGCAAAAGTGTCCGCTGTTTTAGAGGCAGCGGTTCAAAAAAGGGGAGGCCCAATGGAAATTTGCTGGAAGCGCCCGCCTATCTGCCTGTTGCGCCGAAGATCTCCGGCACACGCGCCGAAGGACGCGGACAAATTCGCACACGCCAGCATCATTGCACGCCAACATGCAGCTGGGACAGTCCCTACGCTCTGTGTACGAATCGCATGCTACTGAGTGTGTGGCCAAGCCGGCCAATCGCCCCCGGGCCCAAAGGCCGTTCTATGTAAGTGTCAAAGCCAAGCGATAACACATATACCGCTCCCACCAGGCACAGTAGGGACACCCTGGTACTAAGTCAATGCTACTCTGTTAGCCTAAGAATCCCTTCCTCGTGTTCACTGCTATCAGGGCTGCCCTGGCTCGCCACCACATGACTACACCATACATACCTTGGCATATTAACTTCGTGGTTTTGTTTTAAAATAAATCCTAAAATTCATCCATGCGGGGGAGGGGAGTGGCCAGTTAAATAAGGGGTTTTATGATGACCTGCCGGATCCTATAATCCGTTGGACTTACACGCAACCGCGAGTCAGACATCAATCCATAATAGAGTCAGCCGGCCCTCTTGGTCACGTATATCGCGAAAGAAGAAGCCAAAAGACAGATGCTTGGGTAGGTCGTGGAGAAACTGTAGTGGCGTGCGATCAGCGAGTCCCTTGATGCCGTAGGCGCCAAGGGCGTTGTGGATATGTTGATGCGAAATATGCCTGGGTTCGGGATCATTAGGCGTGAGGCCACGTAGGTTGGCAGCTATTTTGAATAGCTGCAGGCCTATTAAGGACCTTGCCACTATAGGTTCCGAGGTGGATGCTAAAAGCTTGCCGCACAACCATAAGATTTACAACCTTTACTCTAAATCGGGGTATTTATCTATAATATAAAGGAAGATAAGTAGAGAGATAGGAAGTCACCAGTATTGGTTTAAACTATGTGTACGGCACCAAACGACAGAACGAAAACGTCTTGCAGCGTATATATCGATTTGAATTACTGGCTACAACTAAGCGAATCCTCCCGTCGGACCACGCCCCGATTTTGTTGATGACTACAGACTGAGCCCAGAAAGCGCTGTCGAGGCCAAACACTATCTTCGCGTACGATCGTTAGCCTGAAGTCGAGACTGCAGGGTCCATACAGAACAAGGCAGAAAGTCCACGATGGACCATTCCATCCCAACAATAAGACTAGGTCAGACGCGGCGGGGACAAGCTGTTTAAAGAAAGGGATAGGTTCAGTTCTCCAAGAGCCAGCCAGACCAGCACTGCAACCGATGCTGGAGTGTCCATTCACATTGGACTTTTTTAACCTAAAGGGGCGTGAAATCCATGAAATCCAAAAGCAATCGGGAAATCAGCCTCTGCCCTCCCCAGTTCCTCCAGCGTCCTTGCATCCAGACATAGAAGATAAGATTTCTGCGCAGAGCCGTCAAGGACTACGGTCAAGAGCACCCCGTCATCCTCATCTGTTCCACCGGGTCGCGGCACAAAGACAGGTTCACCGGGTGTGTGCGCGCGGGGGCCGTTCCAGAAAACAGCCCCACGAGTTTGAAGGTCTGTTTTAACAATGGAGTCTAACAGGGTGCTTAAACCGCGAGTAGCAGTACTGTAGACATAACGGTAGGGCCGTCCTATCCGTTCGGGGTGTATGGTGCATAGCTCGCCTGCGTGAGGGCCGGGAATCGAGAGGACCTCCTCGGCCGTTGCTGTGTAAGATTTCTGGCATGAATGCTGCAGGGGCATCCTGTAACGATATCGCACTAGACGGAGAAGAGACTTCTTATAGCGCTGGTTGGGGAGAAGTCGCTTCCTGGCAGCATCATTCCTATCCAATAGGATGTCGTAATGAACATTATATAGAATGTCACTGTCGTCGTACATGGCATGGTCGAGATACAGCTCAATTCGCTCAACGCCACTTTTGTCTCTTAGGCGTTCCTCATAGGCGTTGATGGAGTGGAAAAAGAAGGCAGCTGGGGTGGAGAAACGGGCGACGACCCCTTGGCCATGCTTTCGGTCGACGACAATCCATTTGCATTTTTTTGACTTGTCGAAAGGTTCGATGGCTTCGAGAAGATTGCGTTTCCAGGCGATTTTGAGTCCGTGCCAGGCAATATGCGCTGTTGGTACACAGAGAATAACATAATTCTCTGTCAAAAAGAAACTATGAATGTATGCCGGCGCGAGCTCGGGATCCGAGACTGTAGCAAGAATATCGGTCGTTCCAGTCATATTGTTCACGCGGAATATGCGATATACTGGGTGGAGGCGAGCAAAATCTAGATTGAAATTAAACAAGTCTCCAGTCTCTCGGTCCCGCTGTGCATGAGCACAGGAGAGCGGTCCCTTGAGTTCGGGATGCAGCCGGACCTGGCTAGTGAAGCCGAGGGGCTCGAGCGTGGCGGGATCGATACTCTGCAGCGTGCTTGTGTCTGTGCTGATGTAAAGATTGGTGCGATCAACATGGTGGCCGAGGTTAGTAGGCGCTCCGTCCCGCAGGCCGGGGACATTAGGAAGGAGAACAACGTTGTTGGTATGCTGTTGGGGAGTGAAGTTGCTCATGAACTTGGCAAACAGTCCAACACAAGGATCAGCCTTCTGCCCAAAGGAAATGCTGGAACGCCAGCCTGTCTCCTTGATGTTGGCAACGTGGGCTTCGGACTGGCGTCGGGACGAATAAAGCACCGTTGTGCTACCGTCGTCGACTTCTGAGGGAACAATGTCAAACTTGTGGGTGTGGGCAAAGCCGTCAAACCAGTGTGATACATTGTGAGTCCCTTTGACGGTGTTCTCGACAACATTCTGGCCCGGCCCAGTTCGATATAAAGTACCCGCCGCCCACGACGGAATAGTACCTTTGACGTGTAAACGGAGTGGGCCGCGGTGCTCTTCAAGCCCTTCAAACTGGACTTGAACGTCAGTGGAGGTGGGGGCTGTCATACAGAGAATTGTCAGGGAGGCATGACAGTAGCTCGCTGGGAATAGGAAATCTGGAAACGTACGCCTGCCCCGTTTGGCCAGACTTTCCAGGACTGGTTCTCGGTATTTTTAAGAATTTGCTCGGTGTCTTCCTTCTCATGATCCACCGTGCGCAGGATGGTTCCGCTTGCGTTTAGAGCCATGTCAACGGGAGATTGTTGTTTTGAAACCAGTGGTTGTAAAGTGTAGAAGTTGAAGAAATTTTAGCACTTGCCTGCGTCCCAAATCGTGAAAGACGAGATCTCCTTGGAGCGATCTAATAAGCTGGCACTCGAGACGATGCATGAAAAGGAATCAAGCCTTTATAGTGTGCCTAGTAACAGACTAGCAGTGTAGACGGCGGGCAGGCAGATGTCTCAAGGACCCCAGATTTCCGGCCATGACTATTGCTGCAAGGACCAAGGACAGGCAGGCCTTTGGAAGTGGAGGCGTCTCCGCCAAGGTCATCATAATAGGCACTGACTCGCACTCGCACTCGCACTCGCTAAGAGCGGGGTTAACTTCTCCTAGGTTGGTGGGCTAAGAATTATGGGGGATGGGTGCTGCCATGCCCTCGCACTCGCACTCGCACTCGGACCTTGAGCCCACTCAAGCAAGACTCTTTCACGCCAATGGCAGAGGACTCTAGCTGCTCAACAAATTTCCAGCTCCTAGACATAGACAAGCGGTATATCAGCAGTCCGTACATTCGTCATCAATGTTACCTTTGACCTCTTTGCGGGTCACACCACGCACTTTCTTTTCTCCTACACCCATAGCCAAGGAGTGGCCAAATGCTGGACTCTGAAACAACTCGATGTCTTGTCCACGAAAGGCGTCTCTAACCTCCTTCGTAGACCTCGTTAGAAGTCAACTGTTCCAAGCGGGGCAAGCACCAGGTGCGTTTGGGTTGACAAGGGCGAAATTGCCGCCGTGTTGGACTCTTTGTTCCGCGTCATCACCCAGAGCGAAGCATTTGGCCCCATCCTCTTCAGCTCCTTGAACTACAGCCCATTCCTGCTATAGCATGCTATAGCAGGCGGGGCTGGGAAGAAAGTCTCCGGATATGACACGGGCAAGTTCCGTAGCATCATCAAAATCCATTGCCCTAAGCGGCATTTCGACATGCTGGCGCCATTCATGTCCCAAGTAATCGAGGATGTCGCGAATTGAGCGATCGCCGACGCCCGCCATCCACCATATACCTGCGACGACCTTTAAGAAGGCCGCGTAATGGACCATAATGACGAGAGCGCGAGGTCGTCTCGAGCGGACAAGCTCGACAAACCGACGGGGGAGGTAGGTGAGCCAGGTGATGATGCGTAGGGTCATGATGGCGCCCAGGCCTTTGCGCAAGTTGTAGTAAAGGGAGCCGAGATGCTGGAGCGTGACAAGATAAGTTTGTGTCTCAAGGAAATCAGCGTCATCTGGCTCCATTGACAAAACCATGGTGACAAGATGGTCGGGAATGGCGGCGGCGGCGGCGGCGGCGGCGGCAGCTTCCATGTCGATGGCGGGTCGGTGAAACAAGGGTTCCAAGCCTGCAGAGGGGATCGAGGATACGTCAACGAGGCCAGCAACTAAGCCGATCCCTTGCCACAGGAGCATCCACTCGATTATGTAGAGGCATTTACCGTCGGGCTCACGGAAACCCTGCGTCGATAGGACGGTGAGGAGCAGGGAGTTGGCGAGGAGAGCTGGGAAGGTCTCTGGCTTGGCCTCTTGGACAGCCCTTCGATAGCCGGCAAACGACTTGGCTCGGTAGGATAGAGCGCGTTGGGGGTTAATGCTTTGCCCCAAGCTCTGCAGATGAAGGCTTGCAAGAGCGAACAACGAATGCATTAGGAAGGGGGTCTCGAAAGCATGGCGGACCACCAAGGTACGCATAATGTCCTCGACGGGCCTCTGCTTGCCGCTTTGGAGAGAAAAGCAGCTGCAGGTGGCCGTAGTGTAAAACCACAGGAGCTTCATGTCAGTCTGATCAAATGTGTCGGGACGGGGTTGCAGCTCGATGACGATGCTTGGACTTGAGCGCATGGGGCAATCAGGAGAGGGGGCCAAGGTGTGACGCGAAATTGAAGCCACCGCAGACACAGCAGAGAAGGTATATTCGCACGTAACCTTACGCTGTCTGCATTGGCGGCACGTCGGGCGTGCTTCGTCGCACTTGACCCTGCGTTTCTTGCAGTCGCTGCACCCCGTGCGAGTCTTTTTGTGAGGGCGTTTGGAGTGATAGCGTCCTTCGGCAGGCTCGTCTTGCATTGTCTCAGTCTTGTGCATGTGATTGTTTTTGCGGAGTAGCCAGTGGCGAAGAGCGGTTCGCTCTCGAGGCTTGATCTTGCTTAAGCATGTAAAAAGGGTAGATTGACCAGGCCTGTTGCGGGACCGAGGGCCAGGTTGCAAGATAAGCGGGTGACTCTAATAGCAAGTAAATACACTAAGAAAACCGACTGGATACCTTACCTATGCCGATGCCGGCGCATGCATGGGTCGAAACAAGGAATACGCCTCATAGCTTCGACCTGGTCCCGGTAGCTTCAGTTCCTGCAGGTATGGCTGTATGTGCAAGACTGTCAAGCAAAACCAGCCTGTCAGTATTACTTGAGTGCCGGCAAGCAGCGGCTGCTCCAATTACAAGGATAAAGGCAAAGCTAGGCCTCGCATTTACTAAATGCTCATTGAGAATTAGAGGATCCCTGACATGATGCCGGTGGACAACTACCAGATTCCATGTTTTTCGGTGAGAACCCGAGGCATCTCTGTCCATGCCGACGACGGGTGCCCGCGAGAATGTTGTTGGCTTTGCATGTCGTGAGCGAGATGGAGCTGGGAGATGTTTGGTGCTCCGTACAGGAAGCGCGGCCGGCTTCCACTGGCCTGCTGGAGTCATTTGCCTGCTCCACACCCAGTTATGCAGCCAGTCTCTGGTCAAGCGCGGGGCCTAGGGGGCCTGAGGCGTATTAAGAGATGCACTTGGGTCTCTGATTTCGTGCAATGAAAATCCGAGCGTCGACTGTGCAGACCCAAAGCCTACACCAACACCTCACTTACCGCCGTTGGAAGTCTCGAAACGTTTGGCCTTGGGGACGGCTACTCCATGAGGTGTCTCAAGGAGGGTTGTGCCCGCTGGGCAATGCGCAATCTCGCCCTTGCTCCCTCCATGTCAAGTGTGTCTGTCCGTGCATTTTCACAAAACATGTGCCGTAGGGCAGATGAGGATGAGTGCAGGCTTGAGTCCCCATCACAGACAGCAAAAGGTAAATAGTCAAGCCTGAGCCCAGCTTACCGGCTGATAGCCGTGTACATGCCAAAAGCACACATAATGGTCATGGTCCTGTTGCTCCTCGGTCTGAAACGGGATACCTTTGAGTAGGGTTCGAGGCTTCACAACATATCATTGGGCTACTCGACAAAGCACAGTACACAATAACTACATACTCGAATCGACCCGGGGCCTTGGATTGCCTCCGGCACGGCATGGGCCCGCCCGCCCGCCGTGCCTGCCGGGATCGCGGCCGAGCCCCCGGAGCGTTGGGCTGGATGCGTCATTACATCACAAGAGCTTATGGACTCGGGAGCTTCAGGGGCTTTCTTTTTCTGCCCTGTTTATAGCTATTGCCATCCCAACTACATCCTTTCTCTCTACGTCCATACTCCCGTAGCTGTACCCGTAATGGTCGGCAAGCGAACACTTGCCCCAGACGCGGGCACCAACAGGCACAAGATGGCCGTGAGGCGACGGAGAAGGCATCACCTTCTCGGCGGCGGCGACGAAGACATCGAAAGCCGCCGCCCTTGCGGATCCGCCGCGCAGGTCCGGCCCCGAGGAGTCCGGCCCCGCCTCTTCCGCTTCCACGATGCCTCGCCCGCTGCCGCTGCCGCTTCGGCTGACAGCACCGACGACGACGACGACGACGACGGCCGGCGCGAGGAGGAACTCAAGCACGCGCTGCTGCACGGCATCGACCGCGACGGCCTCGAGCAGTTCCGCAAGACCGACGACGAGCTCGCGGCCATGGGCAACAAAAAGGTGCGCGCCTTTTACCGCGCGCAAAACGAGCGCCTCAACGACTGGCTCGAGGTCGACGCCGTCGTCATGGCCCTCGCTGACGACGTGCTCGAGTCGATGAACCCGGACCCGGACCATGACGGCGACCAGGAGCGCGTCGGCGCCCTGCAGCGCGTCGAGGGCAACATCGGTGACCTGCTGCCGGACGAGGAACGGGTCAGGCGGAGGACGGCGGCGCGGCGTGCGGCGTGGGCCATCAACGTCAACGTCGTCGCAAACGTGCTGCTCCTGACCGGCAAGGGATTTGCGGCGCTGACGACGGGCTCGCTCTCGCTGATTGCTTCGCTCGTCGACTCGGGCCCTGATCTGCTGTGCACTCTCATCGTCTGGACGACCAACAAGATTGTCCTGTGGCGGCTCAGCGCCCTCCGCAAGCGCTTTCCCGTCGGCCGGCGGCGCCTCGAGTCGCTCGGCATCCTCGTCTTCTCCATCATCATGGTCATCTCCTTTCTGCAGATCCTGCAGGAGTCCATCACCCGCCTCATCCCCCCCCATAGCGAGGCCGAGAAGCTGGGCCCGGGCGCCATATCCGCCCTCGTGGCCACCATTGTGGTCAAGGGCGCCATCGGCGTCTTCTGCCGGCCCATCCGGACGCCGCAGGTGCAGGCGCTGGTGCAGGACTGCAAGACGGACGTCGTCTTCAACTCGCTCTCGCTGCTGTTCCCCTTGGTCGGCTACCACGCCAACGTGTGGTGGCTGGACCCCGTCGGTGCCGGCCTCCTGTCCCTCTTCATCATCTACGACTGGGGCCACACATCGTTTGAGAATGTGGTCCGCCTGTCGGGCGAGGCCGTCGACAACCACACCTTGCGCAAGCTCGTCTACATGGCCTACCGCTTCTCGCCCGTCGTCGAGGGCGTCAAGTCCATCACGGCCTACCACGCGGGTGACGGCGTCTGGGCTGAGTTTGACCTCTTGCTCGACGGCAAGACGAGGCTCAGCCGCTCCCACGACATTGCCGAGACGCTGCAATACTGTGCCGAGGGGCTGGCGGGCGTTGACAGGGCCTTTGTGTCGACCGATTATGCCGCCGTCGGGCCTACGGGACATGCTCAAGACACGGAGAGGAATCACTGAGGGGCCGTGGACAATTTACTCGGGCAATGCTGGCCGAGCAACCCAAGGCGCTCGTTACGGAGCCGTTATATAACAGCTTGAAGACTTAGCCTCAAGTATATCAAGGGCAGACCCTGAATCCCGATGTCTAGTTGGGGACCAACAGCGAAACTCTTTGTCGACAGACCCAACAAATGTAGGGGTTTTAACTACATGTATCAACGAAGATGAATGCCATTAGATTGGCGTCACACAGTCGCCATGTATTACCTGATTCACTCGCGGTCGGTGAGCATATATGGAGAGCATGGTCTACCCTTGGCCGACACGGGTGGAGGCGGCATTGAGTCCACGGCTTGAGCCTCGTATGTACGACGAAGTCATCATGTCATGCCATTTGATATCGTCAAGCAGGACTCGAGTGGCTGGTCAGAAGCCCCCCCGCCTTGTTCGTCTCATTTACCTGTACGTTACAAGAGCGTGGCGCCAGGTGTTGAAGCAATACAGCTGCTAATGTATTCGTCTCACCGACCCTTGGAAAGAGTACATAAAGAGCGTACACTGGAAAATATCAAAGGCCGTACCCTAGTGGGCATCTGTCAAGCTGGTAAAATACCGCTACACCATGCAAAATGAGGGCACCCCCGATAGAGGTGTTACTAACGCGTATTATAGGCCCTTGTCCTGACAGCATCCCATACTCTCAACGTCTCGGTTCGCATTGAGGAAGAGCAAAGAACAAGGGAGAGATGGGGCTGTTAGTGTTGTTACTTAGGCCTAAGCGGTTCAGCCCCTTATCGACTTTCATCAGGGCCGCTCGTATCTTGGACAGGTTGTAGAGCTGGTTCTCTCGCCCCGTGTGGTCCTCGTCTTCTAGTGGCCATTGAAAAGTGCTTGTCTTGGATTCTAGCTTTTCCCTTTTTTGCTTGCATGAGTCAAAATCTATAATAACGGGGTCATCCCCATCTATCAGGATGTTTAACGGGATGAAGATGATAATGCACAAGCCCCAAGTTGTGCAAATAATAAACACCTACTTCACTCCCACGCAGACAATGAGCTACATTAAAAAGAAAATCCCATCCTCCAACATCTGGAGGGAGTCAAAGAGTACTTGGCAAAGTCAAGGCCTCTTGTCCTATCGTCCTTGACAGGGAAGCCCAGATACTGCACAATGTTATGATATAGGTGCATGTTTAGGACCTCATGTGCTTCTACCCCGGTGCGATCTGACAGGCGTGGTCTGAATTATCGTTGTTGGGAGTGTTCTCGTAATGTAGAAGACTGGGTCGTTTGAGTAGGCGGTAGAAGGGAGAGGGTCGGGAACTCGAGTGAAGTCGGGATTGGTTAGAGGATATACGTGTTCCGGAGGAGTTCTGCTCATATGTAGCTTGTCAGGATGGGTAATTACACATGCAGCCACGTTCCCGAGCAGTCTTGCACTTGGAGCAGCTCCCCCCACTCCTTCGCAGAAGACAAGACATGAATCGATTACAAAAGTCACGAGCTCATCCTATGAGCGCCGCTTGGTCCCTGTTGTCATGGGCGCATCACTCGTTGCGACGGGTGCACTTGAGGAAAATGTCACGGACGGGCCGCTTCTCGCCAATGCCGGAGCGGTCGACGGGGGGCAGTGCGTCTTGCGGCTCGTTACCGTTCTTGTCGCAGCGCGTAAAGTCGTAGTAGGCGAAGAAGAAGGCCGTCGAGATGGTTATTTCGAGCTTGGCAAACTACAACGACCAAGTCAGCATTCATGGCCAGTGCCACTCGAAGGATGGCGGTTCTTGGGGCTCGTACTCTCATTCCCACTATTTGTGGTCTCGTCAGCATGTTGCTCAAGCAGCAAAGAAGTTAGGGATGGAGCTTACAGCACGGATGCAGTCCTGATCCCCAGCCAAGGTATCCGTGCGGCCGCTTCTTGTCTTCCTCCCTGCTGGCGAGGTAGCGCTCGGGGTCCCATTCTCGGGGGCTGGTGTAGACTTGGTCGTCCATGTGGATGTCTTCGATTGCGTATAACTTGAAGCCATCCCGTGTCAGTCTTTACCCTAACAGTAGCATTGCAGAACGGAAATGCTTACCGCATAGGCATCCTTGGGAATGATCTTGCCTGTGTCGGCAATCTGAATATCCTTGCCGCTAACATTCTTGCGCATCGACGCGCCCTGGAGAATCAAGCGAATCGTCTCGCGCAGGGCCACGTTTATCATGGGGAACTCGGACTCCCACTGGTCCATGGACAGGCGCGAGAGCACCTTGGGCGCCGATTCGGCCTGCGAGCAGCGGTGCTTCGCGACGGCGGCATCGACTTCGGCTCGTATCCGGGCGTACCACTCGGGATTGGCGGTGAGGTAGGCAAGGATCCAGGCGGCGTTAAAGGCGCTATTGGTGAGTCCTGGAACGAAGGTTCCGATGATGAACTACGGAAAGTGAGTGTAGGTGTATTGTTGCGTAAGAGCGGGTGCCTCGGGGAAAGGGGGCCCAAAACGTACAGCAGATACGACAGTGTCTGGGTGGCCTTGGTCGATCAAGGTCTGCATGGCATCCGCCTCGGCCCTGCCGGTTCTTTGACGGTCGCTCATGATCTTGGAAAAGGTGCGGTGCAGCTTGGCGCCGGCGAGCATCTTCCTGACTTTGCTGGGCCAAGGAACGTGGGGGAACATGACCTCAATGGCCGACGAGTCGTCGAAGCGGTCAAAGGCCGACAAGGTGTCGGCGAGCAGCTTGGGGTCATCGGCAACGTCGTTGCTGCCGAGGATGCGGTGGGTGAGCTGGTAGATGAGGTGCAGCATCAGCTTGAAGGGCTCGACGGGCGCTGACGTGTCGATGCCCATGGCGCCTAAGGCCACATCTGTGTCGGTCGTCAGGTGATGGAGCTTGGCTGCGAGCCGGTCCTTGCCCATTAGATGCTTGAACGACGTGAAGAAGAGCGTCCTAAGGTCGCCGGGTAATAGATGCTCGATGCTAGGGCCTGCGGAATAGAGGGCAGAGAAGCTAATAAACCAAGACATGTTAGCACACGCGCAACTCATCTTACACCTTGAGAGGAATAAATACCCTTCAATGAAGTCGAGGCTGCGCGCGTTGTAGAAAAAGGACCGGGCCGACGAGCCGGACACGACGACAATGGGATAAGGTCCGTAGTAAAAGCTGAACTGCCGGCTGGGGTCCCGATGCCTCCCCTTGAGCAAGAAATCGCTACGTGAGCGGAAAAAGTCGACGGACCCGAGGATGGGCGTCCCCTTCAGGAGTCGAGGTGCCCCGCGAGGAAGACGTGGTCGCGACGCCATCATCTGTCCGACGAGCACCGCCGCCGCCGGCTTCAACAAGAAGACGAGGAAGCTGGCGAGCCAGGCCAGGGGGTCTGGTATGAGGCTCCAAGTGGACAACATTGTGTGTGGGGGCGGGCAAGCGGCGGTGTCGTTTTCTTCTTCTCTCCCCATCCAAGGCAGAAGACCTTGGTCCGCGCAAAGTGAGAAGCAGTTGGCGGTCGAGGCAAAGGCCAAGAGGTAGGAAAGGAGGGGAAAGACACGCCTCAATGGCAAAGTCATGTATGCATATAAGGATGTAAGTAGGCAGGGTGGGTAGGGCAGGCAGGTGACATTTGCTTTCGCTGTCCGTGATGCACATATGAGCATTGGATCATTTTAGCTTGAAGAAGGGACCAGGAGTTTGCTTTTCTCGAGGCTCAGCGCATGCCACATTGCAGGATTTAACTATATTGAGCGCCGATTGGCGTTCGGTAGCTCATCGGCATGCCCTGAGCAGCAAAGTAACGACCAAAGCTGTCAAATAAGACGAGCTTCATCAATACCCATCAGAGCCGCCGGTGCACAATATTGCATATTAACCAAGTTCTTGTCTACAAACATCTCAAAATGTTCCATCAATTATCCGTAGTTTTTATAGCACACGACATGCCACCGCTCGCAGGGCTCGTTATGGAACATCCGTAGCCTTGGACGAGTTGCCAGCTCAGTATGTTGGCGTGAATATGACTAACTGTTGTTGACTTGGATCGTCATCAAGCTTTTAGATATTCAATCAGTCTTAAGCACAGGGCCAGGGCTCAAAGGTTGGGGTGGGACAGGTAAGAAATTCACAGCAACATCACTAGCCTCGAATGAGGCATTGTCTTCCACTAACATGGGTTCCTGTTAGCTGCCACCAGCACCTCCATGGCATATAGGGTCCACTACCAGGTCATCTGTTGGAGTGTCACTTCACTTTTGCCTGCACAACCTAATGGTTTCCTCACAGTTCCTTTAATGAGCATGCCATGGGAAGACGAAGCCTTTGAGATTGGCCTCGGCTCGATGCCTTCCAGAAAGTCTTTTACCTAACAGTCCCACGCCTTTAGCCAAATATTTGCAATGTATTCTACGCAAATTATTTTTTCAGATTCGTAACAAGCCTTTAGCAGGCAGGATATATCTTCGTAATTGTCAGCTGCCACTAGCACCTCCATGGCATATAGAGCCCACTTCTAGGTCATTTGCCGGAGTGCCGCTTCACTTTTGCCTGCATAATATAGTTGTTTCCCAACAGTAGTATTGAATAAGTCCCATGTAGTTATATCGAAGGAGACGAGTAACTGTATTCCCAAAGGGGGGGGGGGGAGGTGGGCGCTTCCCTGAAGCGAAGGACAGGAACTGGAGGCCATTTCGTAGTCGATCCAAGTTATCCGCAAATCCCTAACTTAGGAGACCTGCGGAGCACGTTCCTCACAAGGTCGAAAAGCTTTCGGCCTCAGTTGAACAGATCCAAGTGAGCCATCGTCTTGGTGCAGTTCCCGGCCTTAGAAATGAGCCAGTTGGCCCATTTAGGATGGTTCTTTGTATAAAGCTTGATGGGAAAAAAGTGGCCATTTTTTCTCGTTTCCTTTTTTTGGCTGTAAACTTCCGGTCGACTTGTAAGTAGAATCAGATCGGGATATTCGTCTCCGGCCATTGGTCCACTCGCGTTATGTTGGAGTTACCACGTGAGAAGCTGGCATGTTGATTTAACGGGTGAGATGCAAAAAGGGACGGTATGAGCACCACGGCAGGTCCATTCCAAATAATGTCGCAATGGATCAATCAGTGTTCAAGATTGCCAGATTCTCCCGTGCATAGTCTCTCTAATATTGAAGAATAAGATGGGTCGTGCGCGCTTGGAGTCGCGGGACAAGCCATGTCGGTTTCGATGAAGACAAAAGATGGAAGGGCTAATGAGAGCCGGGGTAAGGGTCTGAGAACAGCGTCTGATCGTCCCCTGACGACAGCATTCGAGAACTTGTTTTTTGTTTGACCAGAACGTCAGAAGGAGCCGCCCTAGCCTCTCGTGACACTGGGCATTTAAGAGATAGGAAGGATACCGCCAAGAACGAGGGAACCAGCCACAATGTGGTATTTTTGACACGAAGGAGGCTCTACAGCTGAGGATGATGGACGTCGGCCTCCAGCCACCTGGGGATGCGCTTTTAAATTGTCCATAATGCACGCACCCTGGAGGAGGGGGAACGTTGTTGAATCTGGCCTCCCAAGGCTCTTCATAAAAAGGACGCGGCAGAGAACTGGTAAGCGAGCGTCTGAACCGTTTAAATAGCCCAACAGCGCATTGAGGGTTGAGCAGATTAGTCAACCCAAGGGACCGGATGATGGTAACGGACTCAAATTCTCTCAAAGGACTCAGCGCAAACTAGAGCAGAAGGCTCGACCTGCATCAGCAGACAAGGCAGGATAGCGGCCGTAGGCTTAGGCCGGAGTGTTCGTGACGAAGCATCCCTCTGGCACCCCCGCTCCCAGAAAAAGCAAAACACAATCCTCTTCAATCGCTCTACTAATTATCTCTATCTTGTGTTTGATTCTCGTATTTATACAAGCTCGCGTGATGAATTAAAAAAAAGCGATCGATAAGTAGGCTCGGACGTGTAGCGATTACCCGAAGCGTTTTCAGGAGCACCTGGGGAAATGCTAATACGCAATCGCAGGAGGTGACGACGAAATGTTCACACGTTCGCTTCGTCAGACTTTTGATTTTTTACATCCCGAGAGATGACGAGTATTTACGACGTTGCCGAATTTTCTCGATAGAAGTACACGGCACAGTTTCTCCACTTACGTTTGCTCTCTAGGCAGAGCGGTTTACTCCCGTAGTCAGAGCCAACTTTTAATACTATAGGCCAAAAGATGCAGTATGCTATTTTTTTTATTTCATCTTGCCTGGAAATAAGGGCTTACTCTCGTGGATGCAGTATTTTCTACCTTGCTGCCTCGCTAACCTTGCCCCTTTAAGTACTCGCCACAGCTTCCCTACTTCTGGTTTGCCCTCTAGGCAGGGCGGTTCCTAGCTAGGGCACAATATTGTAGAATGTGCGCACCCCTAAATTTTGCGGTATCGGCGCTGCCCCTGGACCAGCTACCCTTTCCCCACCTTTGATCTCCCCGTTTGGCAGAGCGGTCTGTTTGTTAGTTTGTTGGTCACAGTCAAGGCGCAAATGTGCGGGGAGGAGGCAAGGTGGGTGTGACGAAGATCACTCGGGACATCTAACCAATGGTCGGCCATGGAGTGTTTGACCCTTCGCCATTCCCGTGTACAAACGAATACAGGCAAGCTATTCATACATGCATGTGACGGGCGTATCCATGTGACGTGGCATTCCACCTGAGCCTCTTCCTGCATGCATCCATGATCATCAATGATAGGACACCGTTTCTTGAATCCGAGGGCGCCTGGCGCCACGACATTTCGGGTGACATGCTCATTGTCAGCCCTTCGACTAGCGTTATTTGTGTCATGCAAGGAGTCGTCGTCAACATTTCCCTGGTCGGTTTAGGACACAGCCAGCTACGAGCTCGCGCTGCAGATTTGCCGTGATATACCTACGTACAGCGCGTTTGGTACCTCGCGTGGAGGAAGAGGCTTCATCAGAGATGCGCAACGTGCTTGAAGGGCGTCGCCAGCTAACGTCCTCCCTGAGAAGTCGTCCCTGTCGTGTCTGCCACGGGCTCATGCCCTTTAGTACCTGCTGCTGGTTCCCGCCTGCCCATCATGGGGTTATCGACATCACGTTTGCATGAGTCAGGCGCGGCGGGTCAGAAGTCGATGCAGTGTGCATATGCAATGTAACCGGGCGGGGGCTTTGGTCAATCTGGAGGGGTCACTTCGCCCGGCTGCTGGACATTTACGATATAAAATGGAAATAATCAACTGCAGGCATCCGGGCCCAGATAAGGGCTCCGACACGGATAGTTACACACCTTGAGATGGCGTCCTATGCTGAATGATTGAACTCCCCGCTACTGGATGACGGGGTAGTAAGCTATCGCCCTGGAAGTAACGTTCAAGACGGATCAGGTCAAGGAACATGATGATGCCAGACATCAGTTCCAAGGGGGGGAAACACAAAATGTCCAGAGCCATACCAACGGTTATCACTCCCCTGTTAAAGAATATTCCTTCTGAGTGCCTGCCATGGCGTCGAATCCTCCACCGAAACCGGTCCGCCGCGTCTCGTATCCCAATAGCATAGACATTTATCCTCGTCTGACAGTGTGCTCGATGCCATTACCGTGTAGGAATCGTAACGCATCTGGCCCAAGTTAGTCGACAAGATGGACGAGAAGCTGCTGGCATCGTCGGCCTGACTTACCTCGACAGTGTACTCGCTACCAAATCTCTTTCTGAGAAGATCATCGAGCTTAAAGGGATCCACGTATTGCCCTGGAATTATGGTAGGAACTCGTTTGGCAGGACTTATGTCCCGTGGCGAGTAAGTCGTCGTGGAACCAAAGCTGTGCTTGGTCAAAGTTTGACTAGCTGAAGCCTTGTTCCTGCCATTGTACCCATTCATGGTCAAGACTGAACTTCTAGTCCGTCGCGGGCTCGACCTTTTGATTGAAGAATCGTACTTGGAAGGCATGGAGATTTCTTCTCATCAATATGTTACCGGGAGGGCGGTCAAATGTGTGAGGGGAACGGGTTGACAGTGTAGAGTGAGCAGACGTCGAATATTTACAGGTTTTGGCCAGCCGCCGAGGGTCGGCTAAGGGGGAAGACGTAACGCGGGAGTGGTCTGACCATCATTTGAAATCGCCCCTCGAGTACAGCACAGGTACCAGCTCGCACGGTATGGTAATTGGACAGGTGCTGTACGTGTCCGCAAGACCGACATTCGAAATGAACGAAACTTGAATATATCAAGTACAGAGGCTTATAATGCATGCGTTATGTATTGTCAATAGAACTAGAAGCGTAGCAACTAGAGAACTATACAAGAACCAAGTACAGTACGAACTCCGCACAGTGCCTACGTCCATTTCTCTCCGTTGGTAATACCATCCAGACCGGTCCAGGCCCCGTGGCTTGCCGAAGGCTGATGATGTTCGAAGTACGAGGTACGGATATGTACAGACAATGCGGCCGAGTACGTCTCCCGCTTGATGCATGCCATCGGGACCTTGGGGTGATACATGTGTGACTCTCTCTACACCCTCTTCTTCGCGGCCCATGCAGGGTGAAAATGGAACACCGCCGCTCCCCTACTTCACCCTTGCCTACTACCGGACCAGCCCTGTCTTTCTTACCCCGCATGACCCTCCCTTCTAGTTTCCGCCGCTTCTTCGGTCGGAGTACAGCTGCAGGCTTCCAGATAGCTTCGAGCCAGACCAACGCCATGTCTCGAATCTGTCTCAGGCTTCATCTTCGCACGTACCCGAAATGTATAACGCCAGACGCCTTACCAGGATCCTACTCTGCATATATCCGTGCCGTGGCCAACCAACATGAGGATAATACTCCGGCTTTGTCTTGAGAAGCCTATTTAGGCATACAACGTCTCATACTCAAATCCTGTCTCCCACCCATCTCATATCGCACGGGCCGAGAAGCCACAGCCATGGATGGCAGCCCGGGAGCCTCCTAACAAATTCCTCGTTTTTAGCGAATCAGGGGCCTGCGCGAACCGACATTTTGTCTTCAAGTTCAAGTTTACGACCTTGCGTTGAACGTGCTAGCACAGGCTATGGGCCAACCGCTACCGAGCCATCTTTGACGGTGCAAAGGGCGTATACCTAACCACCGAGAACGTTGTCTTCGACTGATCTTGACAATGAACCGCATGACGACGAGAAGCCAGAACAGGGAAAAAATGAAAGACAGACTGAACAGTGCCTGGGTGCGAATCAAGGCCAAGCCAAAAGAACCCTTCATGCCTATCGGCGCCTTGAAAGAAATTTGCCAGGAAGACTCCGTAGAGAAGGAAATTCGTCGGTCCTGCCCAGACTGGAGCGAAAAGGATGTAAACGCCTGCACCCGGTACGTCTGCGATGGCCAATGTGGTGCGCCGGGCTTTGGCGACTCCAAGATCAGGCTGTTCGCGGTTCTGGTTCTCATTGACGAAGTGAGCAAGGTGAAGTGCTTCTTGAAATATGGGATCATGGACAAAGATCTTCCCTTCCTGCCTAGTACGCAGGATGGTGGCAAGACGCTCCTCGGACGCGACCTGCAAAGTGTACGTTGCTGTCAAGGATGGAGTCCGACTTCTACAAGCGAGTTTTATGACAAAGAATGGCGACTTCTTGCTCCCATCTTCACCAAAGAACCTACTGGGTCAGTAACTACACAAGTTTTGGAATCCGGGGTGATCATGCCGTGGACTGAAAAGACCAAGGATATGGCTGGCAAGGAGGGCGGCTATTCTGTGGTGTATTCCGTCAAAATCCATCCAGATCATCACGGCTTTGTGCGTTTCCACCACCCTTCCTCATTCCTGCTCGGGGCTGCACCGAAAGTGCGTCACAAGATTCGATCAGACGCTTGACTTGCATCATGCTGACTGGTCAATGCCAGGAGCCATGTGATCAGTTCGCTCTCAAAACTCTACACTCAGCAAAGCAGGACGACTTCGATACAGAGCTGAAAAACCTGAATCTATGCGCATCAAAAAGCCATTTGGTCGAGCTATACGCGGCTTTGAAGCACGGGGAGAAATACTCATTCCTGTTTCCATGGGCTACGGGCGGTTCCTTGTCATCCCTCTGGAACAAATCCCGCAATTCATTTACCTGGTGCCCAAACCATAGGACTATGGATCCGTCGGCACAGACAAGAAGCGCGGTGCTCTGGATTGCGCAACAGTGCTACAAACTGGCAACCGATGAGGGCTTGGGCTTCGTTCACAATAGGAACTCAATGGCGAAGTCAGCTTATCTACGCAACTTGGTTGACACAAACGATAGTCGCTATGGCATCCACGGGGACATTAAGCCTGGCAACATCCTGCATTTCACAGAAGAGTTCAATGAGTATGGTGCTGGCGTACTCAAGATCTCCGACATGGGATTGACCGGATTTCATACAGTGAAGTCAAGGTCTAACCAGCCACCGACAGGACCCTGTTCGCCGTCTTACCGCGCACCAGAGCATGGCAGCAAAGACCGTTACCTCTCCCGAAAATATGACGTATGGAGCCTCGGCTGTGTCTTTTCCGAACTCTTATCATGGTTGATTCTTGGGCCGGAAGGCGTGAAGGAATATAACTCGTGGCGATTCGAAGACGCCAATAGAGAGCTGCCCCCGTGGCGGGAAGACAGCTTTTTCAAGCGCAGTGAACTAGATGGGAGAGTCGAGGACGCCATCTTGAAACCGTCAGTTGTCAAAGTAAGACGATTGGTAGTCATTTCCCTCTTGTGCTTGTCAAGTGTCATTTAATATTTTGAAGTCCGAGGACTAACCCTTCTTTTGGATAGTGGATCAGTCGTCTCCGCGATATTACAGGTCCCGATAATTTTCTACACGATTTTCTGACCTTCATCGAGAAAGACATGTTAGAGGTCGACTATCAACACCGAGCCTCTTGTATCGATGTTAGCGACTTCCTCAAACCAAGATACGAGAGGTGTATCAAGGACGAAAGATATTGCATACCCCAGCAACAACCATTTCACGTCGTGAGGAGTGAGAACAGGGGTCAAACAGTCACTGATACAGGCTTAAACAACGCCTCCCAGAAGCGAAAGGCTGGCAGTGACGAGGGAAGGGAGTCGAAGCAGCATCGCTCCATATGACATCATTCCAGTTCGTTGGATGTTTATAACGATTGATACTCAGAATCGGGAACCAACCTGGGCTCTGACACCTCTGAGGATCACAAAAAATATCAAGCAAAGTCATCAACTTCGACAGTAAATGGGATCATTAGAAGGCGTCGCCAAGAGCTCCAACATACCCGCGAGGCCTGCCTCGCCGGCCTAGGCTACAAACCAGGACCGTATCCCCCCCCTTGTTATTGTAGAAACAAGCGCTCTGCTGATCCTACTTTTATAGGTAGGGTTGGTAAAGACTATAGATGAGCCATCAAACGTCGAGCTGAGCGAGGATCAAGCTGTCGAACTAATCCTCTCCCGCCACAAATTTTATTCAACTAGTTACAATGTGAACAACGAATATAGGTGCTTGATTCATATTGACCCGAGAGAAGTGAACCGTCAACCATAAATAACCCCCACCTCACTTTGTTCTCGAGTAGTGAAGCACCATTTTTGCCTTCAGGGTTGCAATCTCCTCCTGCAGGGAATGTAATCAGCGCCGGGGAGCAAGAAGTTGCTGTGAACTTGGAACAACAAACCGGACTAAGTTTCCTCGGGACCTGCACAATCCAGTGATCGCTGCGAAACTGCATTGCAGAGGACTGCCGTTAGTGATTCGTACACCCGACGACGTCATAGCGATCAACCCACCCCCTCGATGACGAATTCTTGTGTCTCCAAGATTTCGCCCAGGTATTTTTCAAGTAGTGTCCTCGAGCTATACGTGATCGGCAGAAGCTGCGAATAAGCAAGATTGTTGCCCATTGCGTCCCTCTTTCGGTGTCGGAAACCGTGCCTGTTGACTTATCGGCAAAACTGGACGGCTGGGGGTGTCCAACGTCCAACGCAGCCGGCCCAGATGGCATCCATCAGCAGATAAATACACATTGCGGCTCCGCCTTGATTCGTTAAAAGGTAGTGGCAGTGGCCCTGCCTAAATGCACCTCAACACTGCCTGCTGACGTGTCGTCGGTCGTCCGCCTCGCCCGCTGACACCCAATTGCCCAATTCCGAAGTCGCACACAGTAAACCTTTCTGGTCAAGAGTTACAGTAGCCCGGTGCTTTTATAGCGCCGCTCGCTACATCAGGCTGCAACTTGTCGTGTTTTCGTAAGACACGTATTTCCCCCGGACTTCTCACCACGTCACCACGGTTAGACCTTGCGACATACCAATACACTGCGACATGCAGTGGTTACGGCAGGATCCTTCAATATGTGAGGAGAACATGAGTATTTTCACCTTTAAGCCTGGCCAGAGTGAGGTGTTCACGATAACCGATCCAAACGGTGTAAGGCAATATTGTCTCCCGCGAACGATGTCGAGTCTGAACGTTGGCGTAGGATTCTCCTAAACCAGGGAGGCGAACCCTGAATACAGACAAGCAGTGGCAAGAGTGGTTTGATGAGGTGCACATGCCAGCCTCCTGTCAATCGGATTCAATGTTGCTAAGTCTGCGCTCCTGCTAGAAAAATATAGCCCCGGCGCACGAGTCCCTCAACAGCATCAATTTATTGTTTGTCTATTGGCGTCGAACGAACAAGTTTGGTAACTAAGTAGTTGGGTAGACTGTGTATCGGTGCCACGAACAATTTGCCAGATCCAGCCAACCTGTCTCTTATGCCGTTCTCGGAGTCCACATTCAGCCGTCTTGTCGATCGCTTCTACGTTCATGGTTCAATTGCACGAGTCATAAACCGATCCACGAACTGCATCTTCTCCGGGCGACTGTTCTCGTGGGGTAATCCGCCCATCCAATCTTATGGTAGGTGACTAATTCACCGGGATTTGCTCCAAGAGTAGCTGAAGCTAGAAGGGAGGGATGCAGTTTACAACTGCAGATCTACTGCATCATGGTCTGGAGATCTGGCTCTTTCGGCCACGTTCTTCCCAGAAAGCCTGGCCACATACGCGGTTATGTTCGGCTGTGACAAAGAGCAGACTGAGGAAGTGATCGCTCGACTCTGTAATGCTGATGATCCGGTGTTTCACCCTATGGTCCTGCCAACCATATTCGCTGAGATGGAGCGTAATCGGCAGATCGCTTTGGTCAGGGAAATCACCACTAGTCTTGCTGAGAGAGTCTACAACACTGGTGTCGGCACCGACGATACTTGTCATGAGCAATCAAGAGACGGCTTCTCTGCCCCGGCATCCCCACAGCATCTACGTCCTATAGGAGATGTAATCTTTCTTTGGACCGAGACAGGCCACTTGAGGGACGGCTTGAATGCATTCAAGAGGCAAATGGAGAAGATGATTGAGCATCTGGATGAGCTTGCGGTAGCCCTTTTTCAGCCAGAGGGAGGCACAAACGCTCAGACTGCAGGCACAACATGTGATGTGGAGCGTCAGAAGCTGTGTCTCAAGGACTCGGGCGGTAGGATAAAAATGAGGCTCCGTGAGCTCGTGGACGAGTACGATGAGTACATTCTACGTTGTACGACAGTCATGGACGGAATGAATCTCGCAACACAGCTGGTAAGCAATCCTGCAAAACGCATGGATTGTTGGCATAAAGATTTAACCCGCTGCAGGAGTGGAACAACATTGGTCGACAAGATGCTGTAATCAACCAGCAAATCTCGAAATCCAACTTGGCAGTAGCCTCTCTCACGCGCAAGGACGGGAAACTCATGAAGTCAATTGCCGTCCTGACAATGCTTTTTTTGCCGGCCACCTTTCTGGCGGTACGTTTACCCTAAAGCCGCCCTTTGAGGGTTTATCTTACATGCTAAACTTGCCCTTTGTCTAGACATTGTTTTCGACTGGGTTCTTTGACTGGAAAGCTGCCCAGGGAAGCGTTGCAACAATATCGCCATACATATGGATATATGTCGTAGTGTCTATGGTTCTTACTGTTTTGACACTCGGGGCTTGGTATGTTTACGCAATTCGGCAACACAAAGCCGAGGGCGATTCTATGACGGATCTTGCTGCCTAAAAAAAGACAGACGTTAAATAGGGTGTTTCATATAGCACAGTCTATAGCCTCTATAGCAGTGAGAATCAGTCTCTACAGCTAATTTTACTTCCATAGCTATCTAGGGAATAATATTTCAATTAGTAGATAAATGTTTCTAAGAATCTTGTAAGGGCCAAAAAGTAAAAGGTAAGAGTTAATATCTTAGCTATATTCTTTTTAAAATAGTAGTTAGAAGTTCTCCTCCTGTTAAAATGTCAACACCCTGTATTTAATGCGGAATGGTTGTTCTGCATGGGTATATAAGCGGCTTTTACGCCTATAAGGGCTGCGCCTGTATTTTCATTTCTTTCCTCCTTATAAATTATCAACCTCCTCATTGGGAACCTCCTCTATGCACTATACTTAAACCAATCTTCCTATACCTTCCTATATCTTTATAACTGTCTTACTGTAGTAATAATACGGTCAGATAATACTAAGCTGCTGCAAATCAAACAGCTTTTAAATGAGACATGGCCTCTGCAATGACAGTAATCTCCTGTCTCGACTAGCCCTACATAGTATTGCTTAATCCTTGAGTTCTTTATTAGGCTGAAATGATCACCCGAATCGAAGGCGTAAAACCTTTTACAGACCTTAACCCCCGTCCCAAATTATTCTTCTACACTACCTCCGCCTATTAAATGGAAATACACTATATATATAAGAGCTATACAGAGTCACTACAATAAAGGTAAAAGACTTAAATATCTATAGAATCTACGTACTGGCGTGGGGTGTCGTGACAATTTTGGTACGCGTACGGATGACCAGTGTGCAGTGGCCCTGTTTTCAACTGATAGAATAGTAACATGCCTAGGCAACAGATTTTCCAATTGGCATCTTACCCTGAGATTAAGGGAGAGCAGAACTGATATAAAACATGCGCTAAGATGCATGCCGTCTGGATCACAGCGCTGCAAGTGATCGAACGACCATAGCAGCAATCTGGACAATGCTCCATCCGACAGATATGCAAGAGAAAGGGAGAACTTAGGCATAATGGTAGAGGATTTATAAGGGCATTAAAGTAGGCTGCAGAGCCACTAAGTCCCCCTTAACAAGCATAACACTCTATAAACATGTCGAATGCAGTAAACATAATATATTTCAGGTTTAGAACGTAAATCCTCTTTCATCTAGAAACGTAAAAGACGTAGGGGTATGATTAGTTAGAATGTAGATATTTAATAAGTTATTTAGATTGCTTCCTTCGTTAGTAATACTGATATTGCCTGTCTAAGCAGGACGTTGGTATTTCGACTATATTCTAGTTCTTATTAGCTTTGGTAAGTGAGGTGAGCGAACCGTATAGCTTTAACTAAGGTTGCTGCTGCAAATTTACTCCCTTGCATGAATGGAGCCGAAAAGATATTCAGCGGACTTATCAACTTATAGATTTTAACAGGAGTAGTTCTTAGAGCAAGTGATAGCCTGCCTAATGCGTCACACCTTAAGGAGAATAACACTTGCTGCTTAGGCGGCATGCCTCCTTTTATTTATAGGCTCATTATTAGAGTAAGCAGGCTGTTCTATGGAAGCAGCAAAAGCTAGCAATTCCTATAGATTTGGTTTTAGATTAGAACATAGCTTTGCTCTTAAGCGCTAAAGAATGCCTTCAACATTACAAAGCAAAATATTACCAATATACAACATGCAAGGACGAACTTTATAGCAAATATAGAATGGAGTTACTATATGCAGTGGTTTACGTGTCGGCGGTCGGTATGGGATAGCGAATGGAGGAGGAAGGGATAGACGCGATCGAAAGAAATCGTAGCAGTCACTCAGCCACAGCACGGACCGGGATCGTCGTCTCGATCCCAAGGGATTTTATCAGATCTTCAAGTAGATTTGTTCAAACTGCAACGATTGTGTCAACATGTCGAGTAACAAGCCTGGCCAAAAGGATGGCTGGTTACACTGCATGCCCCCATTCGATTCAATGGGAGTGCTCAGTTTGTCCTTCAACCTTTGACCCTGGAGTCGTCCGGGTCCTAAGAGGATCTGACACTCCATCCTGTGTTTAAACTCATGTCTATTCGGGCAGAGGAATGAGCAGACATCAATTGACTTTGAGATACAACAGCTGCCACTGTCTGCTCCGGTTCTCTATTCCTAAGCTGTCCGCATCATATCCCGAGAACAATGGATGGGTGTCGTTGCTCACGTCATTGCCTCGACAGGGCTATATCAAAATAGCATAAAAATCGACTCCATCCAATTCTGCTACGAGTCCATGGTGTTGCGTCCGTAGGAAGACCTTCTTACTGCTGCGTGCTTCCCAACGTGAACGTGTGATGGCGACCAAATCCATATCATTCGCTCCCCTTGCGTCGCTTCTCCACGACCTTGGCGTCACCCCGCAAACCTCTCTCCCTCTTTCTCTCTCCTTCTCTCTCCTTCTCTCTCCTTCTATCCTTCTCTCTCTATATATATCTCCACTCTATCTCTTGCTCACTCCACCCAAGTCGCGAGTCGGAATAATAGCAGCCAGGGGCAAGCTCTCTCTACACGCTGAGTGAATAACAGCCTCGCGTATAAGGGGCTCACACCATGGCTCTGCTCACCCTCGTCGAGGACCGGCCAACCCCAAAGGCCGTCTACAACCGGCGCGTCTATCTCTGCGCCACCGCTGCTTCCTTTGCCTCGTGCATGATCGGCTACGACTCGGCCTTTATCGGCACCACGATGGCCCTCCCCTCCTTCGCCCGCGAGTTCGCCTTTGCCGACCGCTCGCCGCAGGACCTCGCTCTGCTCAAGCAGACCATCGTCTCCGTCTACCAAGCCGGCGCCCTGCTCGGCAGTCTCGTCGCCTACGCGCTGGGCCACTTTATCGGCCGCCGGCGGGCGCTGCTGCTCTTTGCCACCGTCTTCCTGGCCGGTGCCGGCATGATGCTCGGGGCAACGCGAGAGCGCGGCGGCACCGGGTTGATTGTCGGTGGCCGCGTGCTAGCCGGCTTCGCTGTCGGCGGCTGCTCCAACATCACGCCCATTTACATCTCGGAGCTGGCACCTCCCGCGGTTCGCGGCCGCCTCGTCGGTATCTACGAGCTTGGGTGGCAGGTGGGCGGCCTGGCCGGCTTCTGGATCAACTACGGCGTTGACGCAACCATTTCCCCGGGCAGGAAGCAGTGGCGGATTCCGTTTGCCGTCCAGCTCATCCCCGGCGGATTGCTTCTCATCGGCGCCCTGTTCATACCCGAGTCCCCACGCTGGCTCTTCTCAATTGGCAGGCGTCGGCAGGCCACCGAGATCCTATGCTGGGTCAGGGGCCTCGACAGGGATGACGCATACGTAGTACACGAGATCGGCCAGATCGACGCCGGTCTGCATCGTCATCAAAGAGGCTTCTGGAAGCCCTTTTTGTCGCTCAAGAAGCGCAGGACGCAGTGGCGCTTCCTACTCGGGGTGCTCCTCTTCGTCTTCCAGAACGGTAAGCACCGACCCTGAGCCCGAGCTGAGAAACCTCTCTTTACATCTCCGCATCCATAGGCTCGGGGATCAATGCCATAAACTACTACAGTCCCACCGTGTTTCGCAACGTCGGGATCCGGGGCACGTCGGCCAGTTTCCTGACGACAGGCATCTTTGGGGTCGTCAAGACAGTCTTGACAATTGTCTGGCTCCTCGTCATGGTCGACCACGTCGGCCGGCGCAAGCTCCTGATGATCGGCGCCGTCGGCGGCTCCCTCTGCATGTGGTGCATCGGCGCGCTCATCAAGATCTCGGACGCCGGCCCCGCCCCGGCAAACGCCCCGCTATCGTCGTCCGGCATCGCCGCCGTCTTCTTCCTTTACCTGTGGACGGCATTCTACGTACCGACCTGGAACGGCACGCCTTGGGTCATCAGCTCCGAGATGTTCGACCCGGACACGCGCTCGCTCGGTCAGGCCAACGCAGCGGCCAACAACTGGCTATGGAACTTCATCGTCACCCGCTTCACCGAGCAAATGTTCCTTGCTTGGCGCTACGGCGTCTTCTTCCTCTTTGCCTCCCTCATGGCCGTTTCCTTTTTCTTTGTATTCTTCTGCGTCCCGGAGACCAAGTCAATCCCCCTCGAGTGTGCTGACCGCCTGTTCGAGACGAAGCCAACTTGGCGAGCAAACGTCGTACTCTTGGAAGAGCTACGCCAAGAGGACGCCGAGGCCACTGGAGGAGCAGGTGCAAGGGAGCTACACAACATGGAAAGACTGGCAGAAGGAGACAAGTGGGTAACGCAAGGGAAACAGCAATCAGGCTGAGAACGTAGGTACTCAAGGGGGCGGAGAGCCCAAAGACGAATTCATATGGAAGGCAAATAAGCCTCTGACACTTTGCCATCTGCTGCTCGTCTCCTCATTAACTTTGAAATCGCCTGTTACCGTCATTGTTACCCTTGATGAGAGGACTGTGCAACATTGGCCGCAATGACCGCCCTGATTGCCCTCACCGCCGCCTCCCCAACCTCCATGCCTGTCCAATACCTGTCCTGCTCGAGCCCCTGCCAGATCATCGCCTCAGTGCCCATCACAACCCGGCATCCATGCGCCTTAGCTAGGGCGCCAAGTGCGGTAAAGGGAGTGGGGTTGTAGCACATGTCGAGCACGACGCCTCGTCCGCCTGTCTTGCCTAGAAGCACATCCACAGTACGCCGCGCCCTCATCTCCCCCACGGTCCGGGGCACGGCGTCCGGTACGCAGGCAACAATGGCCCCTGGCCCCTGGAGACCCTCGGCCTCTTCCGCACTGGTGACGTGGCGCAGGGATTGACCGTAGCCGCGAGTCGTACAGTCGTGCACCATGGCCTCGGCCTCGTCCGCGTCGCGGTTCACCACGTATATCTCTGCCACCCCCATCCATCGGCGCAGTGCATAGATGGCGCTCCGGGCCGCGCCGCCGCCCCCGACGACGAGGGCAGGACGGTTGCGGTACGCCGTGGTCGAGTCCGCGACATTGAAATCAAGCGCGTCACGTACGCCTACGATGTCTGTGTTGGCGCCGTACAGCAGTCGGCGGCCGTCGGCCTCTCGAATGAAGACGGTGTTGCATGCGCCCACCGCCTTGCACTCGTTTGTCATGCCGTTAAGATGGGGCAGAATGGCCACCTTGTTCGGCATCGTAATGGAAGCCCCTGAGACCGATCTCGAGTCAGATCGTGCTGAATTCAAGCCAGACAGCAAAGCGGGCGCCCGAAATCACCAACCGTAAAAGCTCGGATGCTGCGCCAAGTCGAGAAACAGGCTTATGTCTGCCGAGTCGAGGCGAAGCTGGCCCCATCGCAGGCCCAGGTGGCGATATACCTCTTGGTGAAGCAATGGCGACAGCGAGCGCGCAAGGTTCTCGCCAAAGACATAGCCATGGCGCTTCAGAGCGTTGGCATCGTCCTGATCTTGGCCAGAAAGGCACGGAGCTTCCATGAACAAATTTTGACGACAAGAAGTCTCACGGGACACCATCTCTTCGCTGCAATCTGTGCTCAGCCTGACCTTCGAGACTCAGACGTCTCCCCGAGAGCCAAACAATTGAGCATCAAGGCCCAAACAGCTCCTCCAGGTTGCAGCTTCCTGCAGCGGCAAGGAAGCCTTATACTTTGACAGGCCCAAAGTAATTTCATCAAAATTGGAATTAGCCTCGAGGCGCTCTCACCCTACCCGGAGTGATATGTAGTGCGTGCGTTGTGGCACATGCAAAGAGATTCACCATGAAGGCCTAGAGAAACACCCCCGCCCGAGGCGACCCCGCCAGACGGGTATAACTGGTCTCTCCATGTGAGCCCAGGGAGTCGCATGACGTGCTTCTGGAGTATACTGCAGAATCCGGCTCTTTCTCCAGAGTACAAGTCCCGACTTTTCCCCCGCGGCTCAGGGAGTACAACAAGAGGAAGAGATCAAGCACAAGAAGAGAAAACTCGCCACTCTTTCGGAGCCCAAATGGTTAATATATGATCTCAAGAAGCAAGCATAGCAAGTCGCACCAGCTCAGCCTCTCATCATCATCATCACAAGTTATCGAGCTCCTCCATACGATGAATGAATTCTGCCTGAAGCCGACGCAAATAGCCGGGCAATGCTTCCTCGCTGCCAGAGTCCCGCGCCTGCAAAAGGGCAGCGTATAGGTTCAAGAGCAATTTGCGTCGCACGACAAGCTTGCGGGACTCGGAGCTCTGTCGATTCTCTTCCCTCGTCTGTCGCAGCGAGTCGGCGACTTGCTCGGCTTTTTCGATGAAGCTCGATGGCAGGCCAATGGCACGGGCCAAATGAATCCCGTAGTGTTCCTGTTCACCGAAAGTGCCCGCCGTGGCCTTGTAGAGCATCTTCAGGTGAGGCAATCCAGCAGCCGTCTCCGAGCTCTGGGCGGCGAGGTGGAGGTTCAGCACGCCGGGCCGCTCTGCCAGCACGCGAGCCAGGTCGACAAAGTGTGTTGCGAACCACACCGACGCCTTCTTTTCAATGAGTGCCTCTGAAATGGCGATTGCAATGGCCAAACCGTCTCGAGTGCTCGTTCCGCGCCCCAATTCGTCCACGATGGCGAGGCTCTTGCTGTCCACATTTCGCAGGATAAAAGCCATCTCGCGCATCTCGATGGAAAACGTGGACAGGCTGGACTCGATGCTGTCGTCCAACGACACTCTTGCAAAGATGTTGTGGATGACTGGGAATGCCGCATACTCGGCGGGCACAAAGCTCCCGATCTGAGCCATGATCTGAAGCAGCGCCACCGTTCGGATGTAGGTAGTCTTTCCACTCATGTTGCACCCGGTCACGACGTGGAAGCTGTACTGCTCGGTGGCGTAGTAATCATTTGGGACATATTTTCCGCTCAAAGTCTGTCATCGTGTCAGTCGTGAGCTCATCCAAGCTGCCACCGGAGCCACCCACTCTGTCTAAGACGGGATGCCGCGCCGACTTCAATGCCAATGTGTCAGTGACTTCTGGTCGGACATAGTCTCGCGTTGTTGCTAGTTGGGCAAAGGATGAAAGCATGTCAACAAGCGCGACGGACTCGCAAACGCGAAACAGCTGCGGCGAAGCTTGCCGGAGATCGTGCATCAGATCCTGTATGACAGCGTCGCTTCTGATAACGACCTCGTTTGACGTGTCGGAAAGTCTCACGTTTAGTTTGACGAGATCTAGCGTCTGGCATTCAATGTTGTCCTTTTTTTGAACCAGGTTGATGAAGATGGGAGGCGAGGCGGCTTCTTCAAAGTCGGCTACTTTGAGGCGAAGCCAGTATTTTCGCCCGTTATCGAACTTGAGCGTAGCTCGAACTCGGTATTCCTCTTGGTCCAGGTTAGCGGCCTGTAAGCCGTCGACATAGCTGATTCGGGCAACGGCACGAACCATTCAACTCGTCAACGTGCTGGTGGATTTCTTCAGTGAGCTCCTTGTAAGTTTGACGAGCGACATCTAGCATGCCGCTGATGCCCGTCTTGACCGCGAAAGTGCGTTGATTTCGGAGATCCAACGGCGACTTCATGTACGTTACATCGGCCTCGATGATTGTGCGGATGCCGGAGAGAATTGGCACCGTCACTTCGGGACGACAGAGGTCTCGGATTTTGACCAGAAGCGCACTTTGCGCTGGGCCCAAAGCTCTATGCAGGTCCGGAGCCGACTCGAGGAAGCTTTTGACCATGAGGATCTGGCCAATCTGCTCCTCCATCTGCATCATGCTGGCATCGGAGGAAACAATGATGAGCTGTGTTGCAAAGTCAGGTAAACCAGTAGCATCATGAGAGGATAGAAAACTTGCCTTTGTGAGCAGCCGTTCGACGTCGTGAAAGCCCTTTAGAGCTGGCCAACCATCAGCATGGAGACGACGTGGGGAGGGCACGTTCAGGCACCTCTCCGAGTTTCGCGAAACATCTCCTCATTCGTTGTGAGCTCTTCCAGGGCATCATATCGAGGGACTATGAATGAGTCTTGGCGAGTCGGTGGCTGAAGGATGTTACTGCGCAGCATTCGCGCCCCCATGGGAGTAGATGTGTGGTTGAGGGTTCCGTACAAACAGTCCTTGGACTTGGGATTGCGGAGATTCTGCATGATTTCGAGCGACTGTATGGCGGAGATGTCGATCATCATGGTGTCCTCGGACGGTTGGTATCGGATGCGAAGGGAGTGAGGGGCGAAGTTGATTGTGAATTGGTGCTCGAGATATTTCATGACCTGCGCACGACGTTAGCCATTAGCCAGAGGGCAATTCTGGATGCAGCTTGATTACCCACAGCTGCAAAAGAGCAAGTCGAGTAGTATTTGCCTTGCAAGGCGAATTTGACTGGCTCGACGTCGTCGGGCGATGCCAGCTTGTGAATGTAGTCCATGCCAGCGTGTTCTGACCAGGCTGAGCGATCGAGGGCGTCGCAACGGGCTTCTGGCACGAGCTCCTGGACCAGGCTGAACAGGGTGCTGGGGGTGTTGGGCGGACAGACGGAAGATCTCAAGATGATTCGAGAGGGCGAAAGCATCTGGATCTTGTGGATGGTCTTGACATAGGACTGGTTGTCGCATATCTGGCTGAGAATGGCTTCACCCAGCGAGATGTTGACAAAGGCGACGCCCACCGAGGGCGTGACGCCGCACGACTCGGCGAGGGCGCAGACGATGTTCTGCTGTTCGCCGAGACCAAGGATGGACGACGTTGTGGTTGTGCGAGACTTGCGGCCCGAGGCGGTGCTGGGCCGGGTGCCGGCGCGCGAAGCCGAGATGCGCGAGATGCTGGGCCTCGAGCTGGTCACCGTGGGCGTGTGCTGGGAGTGACTGATGTCTGGAGCTTGCAGAGCGCGTCTGATGGTTGACGGAGAGCTGCTCAGCGCCTGCGACTGGGGGCTGCTCTGGAAGTAGGCCGAAGACGAGCATGGGGCCACGCTCCCGTACGAAGCTGAGTCGCGAGTGGACGATAGTCGAGACATTGCGAGAAGCTGCGATGACGGCTGAAGCAGCGACTTCAATGCTTTTGTTCGAAGATCAGTCGTATGACTGCTGGGCGGTGGGCGAGAGTGAAATCGTCACGTGCACAACGTCCGATGGCCAGGCGAGCCTGGTTGGGAAGAGCAGCCCCTCCCTCCTAAGGTCAGAGCTACCAAAGGGCAGAAGGTTATGAAATTGGCATCTAGGGCGCAGATTAATATCTTAAAGCTCTTGGCCATATCAAAGAACCTTGCTGCGCAGCACGTGCCGCAACGTCGTTGCTCTCACGGTCATGTTGCGCGTTAAAGGTGGTGCCGTTCTCTCGCGCCCGGTATAAAAGGAGCCGTGGGCATGTGCGGGCGTCATGGTGGCCGACGAGGCAAACATGGTCCTCTGTTCAGCCTTACTGCGAGTCCGAGGCCAAGATTGCGTCTGAACTTGAGCCATAGCGCTTGATCAGGTAGGAGTAATGTGGTGACACAGTGTATCCTATATCTCTTCTGCATTCTTCGCCCACGGCACGACAAGTCTCGTTTGGAAAGAGCCTCATCATTGAATCGGCAAAGGTGAAACTCCTCTTGTCTTGACATGGGTGAACTCTTCTCATCCCTATCATGACTGGCCACCTCCAATAGCTGCACTATCCTGTCGATCTTGAACGAGGATGGTGAGAGGGCAAGGACATGGGCCAAGATGTCGAGGACCGTCTGGGAACTGCACCTGTGGACGCTAAAAGCGTTGTGCCCATCTCTTTAGACACTGTCTGGCTGAGGCCATTCCACGCTGCAGTCATGTCGGACTGCCGAACTGAGGAGACAAGTTTGTCAATAGCTTTCGCTGCATCAGCCTTCTTGCCTGCGACTTCCGGCGCCGAGGGCCAGAACTGCGAGTCTTGAAGAGGCCGGCTTTCATGTGCAGGTTGCAAAGTCGATTCCGGTCTTACTTTGGCGGGAGACGCCTCCATGGCTGCTGCGTACGGCGTCTCTGTGGGCCGCAGAACTAGATCTGATGCGACGACAGTGCCCCACAGGCCCGACAAATGACTCCGTTGAGAAAGTTCAAATCTCTTTGGGTGCATTCGCGGCAGAATACGTGAAGTGATTGCAGACTTGAGCTGGTGTGCGTTTGATGCGCCTAGTGGTCCACTAGAACACCTGTGTGAGCCTCGCAGTTGCTTGTGCAGTGATGCCAGTTCCTGTATAGTATATCTGCACGCACGCGGTCCAAGTCGACACCCGTATCCGACTTGTTGGGGCCTCTTCTGCGGACACGAATTGAAAGTCTCATCAGTCGCTGGCCTGGGCAGCCGTTGGTAGGACTTACATGAGTCGCAGCTGAAGCGCGATGTTCAAGGTGAGCTTGAAAGCGGCCAGGTGCTCCGTCATTGCCGTCACCTCTGACACGATCGAGTTGAATCTGGAACGGTGCATGAGCCTATACCAGGCAGATTCCACGATGATTTGCCGCAACAAGACAAGCCGGTGCTGGATGTTTCGCACCGTGCTCTCGCAGTTGGAAAGCACCGTCTAGGTCGCATCTCGCTCCGACTTGATGTGGTCACCTGCTTCGTCGAGCCGCGACCTGCAGCCCACCCTCCAGGCTTTAGAGAGCTTGGGTCTTCTTGTTGACCGAGTCGTATGGCTCGTGAGAAAGCTCGGCTACCTTGCCGGCAAGGGCGATGAGCCCTGCGATGGAAGCGGCAATGGAGAGAGCTTTCGCTGGAGATGGAGCAGAGCCGCGGAGGACCGAGATGGGTAAAGGTTCACGGGCGGGATGAATTGTAGCGTTGAGAAAGTCGAACATGGTCGGCCGGCGAGACTTTTATCTTACTCGCCTCCCAAGGCGCCGCACGTCGGCGCCTCATCTAGTAATCGACGCAAGGACACCCTCGGGGGCCGAGGCTGCAGGGGACCGTTTCTCCGCACCTTGCGCGAGGACACGGAGGAAGATTTTGAAGCCATGTTGACGGTCGGCAGGGGGCTACCACCGGCGCCTGGCACGTGCCGAGCCATTAATCCGCACGCCTGCCAAAGGGCCCAAAGCAAACACACTCAAACACGCACCACCTAGCTCCTTTGGCACATAGCTATCCACCACGCAGCCATGTTCGGAATCCTCGAGGCCGTCGCCGTGCCTCATTCCGGCATCTACGCCTCATGCGAGGAGCTCATGCGCGACCTCAACGCGCGCGCAGAAAAGGAGGGCTACAAGATCGTCAAGGCGCGCTCCCACCGCAGTCGCCCAGGCGCCCCCATTGTCCGCGCCGACCTCGTCTGCGAGCGCGGCGGCCGCCCCTACCGATGCCAGGCCACTAAGCACAAAACGTCGACCAAGAAGACCAATTGTCCCTGGAAAGCAAAGGCCGTTGATCGCAAGCTGGTCGGCGGCTGGGTCCTGACCGTCATCTGCGATCACCACAACCACGAGCCCGGCACACCAGAACCCCCGACGCCCACCGAGGGCAGCGAAGCTAGCGACGATGAGGAGCTTGTCGAGGAAGCCGGTAAGCCTTCTCAATGCATTCGCGTCGCCCAGGCCCTGCCATCTGCTGACGCGGGTGACAGAGGGCCCCCGACCAGACACCGAGACTGCTGCCGCGCTCCAGGTCGCCGGAGTGTCCGATGCTGTTCTTCGACTGAGCGGCGACACCTTCCACCGCTTCAAGAATGAGTACCGAAAGATGTCCCAGCCAGAGCGCCTAGGCATCTTGGCCCAGATGCAGCTCAGGATTGCCGCCATTTACGCCGTCCAGAACGAGGACATGCTGCGGCAAAAGAGACAGGATGCACAAAACAAGCGCCATCAGGAAATCGAGGACGGCAGGAAGCGGCTGGAAGCAGATGGGCTGCAGTCCGTCAGGCGGCAGCGAGCCCCACGCTTGACTCAACAAGACGCCCTTTCCCAGGCGACTCCCGAGGCAGCTCCCGACGCGGCCGTGGCCATTCCGGAAGCGCCCCTGGCCACTTTGGACAAGCCCCAGGCGACCCCCGACGCGCTTCAACAGAACTCGACACATAGCTTTGCCCGACTTGCACCAGCTCTCGCGATGCAGTCATCACAGCCTGCGATGCAGCAGCCACGGTTCCAGCGGACAGGCCCGACGCCCATTGCACCCCGGCCCCCGCAGAACACGGCGACGTTTCATGCCTACCCAGGACCTTCCAAGCGGCCTCGAGCGGTGAAGAAGCCGCAGAAGATGACGCGCCAAACAGCCCAGCAACAGGCTCTGCCGTCGTCTCAAGAGCCGGCTCAGCGGTCGGCAGAGTCGACAAGCTCGTGATTGCGTTGCGCCCCAACTCGCGGCCCCGGGGCCGGCCAGGCACCTGTTGGGCCTGGAACCCGGGGTGCCATTTTTTTGATGGGGTCTTTGCGCGGACGCGGGCGCTAGCAAGTTGGCACCAAACTATCCCCGTCTCGAGTTAGCTCAGCGTCACGACCCTCACCGCCCAAAATTTCCTGCAATCTTGCCAACCTTCGCACCGTTCCATTCCACATCTGCAAGTTGCGACGGCAGCGAGCGCATCCACCCGCAACGCGTCCCCTTCTTCCTCATCATGGCGACGGTACTCCCCCCGCCGTCGAAGCGGCAAAGGCGTGAGGACCTGGAACGGTCTCAAATTCAGCAGAATGTCACGGCAGCGGCCGGGCTTGCTGGCTCATTCAAGGCGCGGTTCCTCGACGCCGACGGCAAGCAAGTCTGCGACGTGATCGAAGTGCCCCTAGCCGATGCATCCGAAAAGAATCTCTCGCTTCTGCTGAATACGCTTCTCGCGAGGGTGCGTTACTCTCCGTTCAACGGATAACCGCCGGCACAAGCGTTAACTTGTCTGCCTGTAGGAAAAGGACGAATTTCTGCCCTATCGCTTTCGAATCCACATTCCCGACTCCGACATCATCGTGGACCAGTATCCCACCGATCTCCTGCAGCTCCTGCGCAGCCATGGCATCGACAATCCGTTTGAGACGACCGTCACCCTCACTGCCGAGCCGCAGGCCGTCTTCAAAGTCCATGCCGTCACACGCATGTCGCACAAGATACCCGGCCATGGCGAAGCAATATTGACTGCCCAGTTCAGCCCTGCAACTAGCGCGCGCTTGGCAACGGGCTCCGGAGACAAGACAGCCCGTATCTGGGACACGGAAACGGGAACCCCCCAGTACACGCTCTCCGGCCACACACATTGGGTCCTCTGCGTAGCCTGGTCGCCCGATGGCATGCGGCTGGCGACGGGCAGCATGGACAAGTCAATTCGACTGTGGGACCCGAACACGGGCAAGGCCTGGGGCTCAGGACCGTTGGTAGGACACGCCAAGTGGATAACAAATATGGTCTGGGAGCCCTATCACCTATGGAAAGACGGAACGCCACGCCTGGCGAGCGCCAGCAAAGACGGCACGGTCAGGGTATGGCTGGTGAATACGGGACGGATCGAGCACGTCCTGTCGGGGCATCGGAGCTCTGTGAGCTGCGTCCGGTGGGGAGGCACCGGGCTGATTTACACGGGCAGTCACGACAAGACGGTCCGAGTTTGGGACGCCGGCAAGGGAACCCTCGTGCACACACTCTCGGCGCACGCGCACTGGGTCAATCATTTAGCCCTGTCAACAGACTTTGCTCTTCGCACGGCCTTCTTTGATCACCTGCCAACACCGGCGACGGATGAAGAGAGGCGGGCAAAGGCAAAGGAGCGCTTCGACAAGGCCGCAAGGGTGCAGGGAAGGGTCTCCGAGAGGCTCGTGTCGGCTAGCGACGACTTCACCATGTACCTGTGGGATCCATCGCAGAGCACGAAACCGGTTGCTCGGATGGTTGGCCACCAGAAACAGATCAACCACGTCACCTTTTCGCCCGACAACACGCTCATCGCCAGTGCCGGGTGGGACAATCACGTCAAGCTCTGGAGTGCGAGGTAGGAGGAAGCATTGGCCCACACAGGAACGCGCCCACAGCTAACAGCACCTCATCAGAGACGGCAAGTTCATCAACACGCTTCGGGGTCATGTGGCAACGGTTTACCAGTGCGCTTTCTCTGCCGACTCACGACTCCTCGTGACTGGCTCCAAGGATACGACGCTCAAGGTCTGGTCGGTAAGCTCGTGCCAACTGACGGCCGATCTCCCGGGGCACAACGACGAGGTGTACGCCGTGGACTGGGCACCGGACGGGAAGCGAGTCGCCAGCGGCGGCAAAGACAAGGCGGTACGGCTGTGGCAGAATTGAAGGGCGCGTATGGCGATTAAACAAGACGGGTGTGGCGATGATGGCCTTGACGAAGCAGACGGACGGGGCTCGGCGTGGCTGAACCGAGGCTGACTGCACGAGGTTGGCGTGAAGAGAGTTGGCTGGACACTGGCGACGCTCCAGTCGATGACCTGGACATTCATGGCAGTGCGATGCAATGACGAAGCTTGCAGTATGTAGGAATGGGCCTGGGCCCTCATGACGCTGAGACTCGAGCTAGTACCCACCGTTGGCGTATGTAGAATCGGACGTACGAGACCAGTAGGTGGCCGCCGACGTCTGACAAAAGACAAGAAGCCAAAGAAGCAAGTCCTCGGAGCAGCAGCAGTGACGACATTAGCAGTTTGGCAATGCTGGTGGACGATGGATGGGAGTGTGACAAACCGGGTAGTCGAGGCAGTCGAATTCCACGCTGGCGTCATGGGCCAATGGCTGATGAGAGATGGCAACAAGCATGTCCCTGGACAAGCTCCGGGTCTGGAGTCGACGGGCATCGCCGATGAAGTCGCACTGAGAGGCTGAGACTTGGCACCTTTGTTCTCGCGAAAGGCTGCAACGGATGGATGACATTAGGTTTCCTCTGACTGCCAGCTCCGGGGAGGGCAGTTGCCTGATTTCTCATTGAGGGATTTTGCAGCGTGGGCTTCTTGCGAATAACATGAAGCTTCGCCGTGACGTCGAAGACAGTGCAACGGCATTTGACAATACCTCATTCCTTGCCCCGCACAATCACACGCGGCACAGTACGATACAGTGCCCAGCAGCTGTGATGATGCACGGTCATGAGCAGGGGGTGCCAAGAAGGAAGGGATTGACTATTGACTATTCCAGACGGTGGTACAAAACGAGCTCCTGACCCCTCTGTTCTGAGCCTTGTCTCGCAGAAGGCAGAGGCCAAGAAGGTCGGGGCTGCCGGCATCGAGTAAACGAGAGGCCTGGGCTACACCACATGGCTAGGGGCCGGGGAGCTGCGAGATGGGGAGCAGGGAAAGGGAGTGGCGAAAAACGAGCTGTTGAGGCTGGTTCGTTTGGAGTCTGCGCCCATCGGGCTGCATCCGAGGTCGTCCAGAGAGGATGGATGGATACACAGAGAGAGACAGCCATGGGACAGCCATAGACTCGTCCCCGGACTAGCGGCGCGGAGGGCAGCAGCAGTTGGGATATAGGACATGGTGACGGCGGTTGGCTGGTCTGGGATGACATCATGTACGCGGCACACGATGCATTGTCACGGCTTTGCAGTAGCGCTGGAAGGGATTCACGGAGATGAGGATGAGGATGAGGATAGAGGATAGAGGATAGAGGATAGAAGAGAAGAATCATGATAAGAGTTTTATTGCTGGCTGTGGCGGAGGCATCCAACCAGAGCCTGAGGCCGTGGCACAAGCACTGGCGCTCGCCCGCCATTGGGCCAGACGGACCAAACCCTCCCGTGTCGCGTGCGCTGCCCATGAAGGCCGGAGGTAGCTCCGGGCTTGGGCTTTTGATCAGCCCTGGATCAAGCTGATGTCATGGACCCCTGCGGGCTGTGCTTTCCAGCCAAGGGTAACCGCCTCGCTTTAGAAAAGAGGATAAATATTCGAGTCTTGAGAACAGGGCCTCCTTTTTCTTTGGGTGCTTATATCGGCGTCAACAAGACTGCAGTACACTAATTACACAACACCCAACTTACCCCACGAAGTAAATTAACCCCGCGCAAGCAGAGGCGTTTATACTACGGTAGGTATTGAGTACCTAGGTAGAGATACTACGTGTTTCAGTAAGGTACCTAGACGACGTCAGCGACCCCCGCTTGCAGTGGGCGTGGCAGAGCCTGTGCGCGCTAACCGTCCAAGGTACAGACAGGGCCGGCTAAAGCGCCAGAAACCTCGAGGGGCTGCAGCAGCCATTCGTGCCTTGCAGAACCTACCTTAACTCACTACCTTACCTTAGGCACATTAGAGGTGCGGTGCGTTACCACAAATCCTAGCGCCTGCATGGCGGCAGTCGACACCTAGAAAAAACCTTGGGCCGAATCCTCTAGAAACGCCGACGCGGCTTCTCCTCGCCAACAACGTCCAACTTGGCCCTCGTCTCCGCCGCACGGCCTACCCTGCCCGCCCTCACTCAGCCTGTTCGCGCAAGGGGCCTTTCATCGCCCAACGTGCGTCATTCACATGCGCCAGATAAAGAGGAGCTGCCGTCGATCCCTCCCGGACCCTGACCTCTCCTTCTCTTCTTCTCCCCCCTCACTTCTCTTCCGCGGGAGACAACGACATCTCCGCCGGTCTTCACCATGACCGTCTTCATCTGCTCGCTGTGGGTGCCTCTCATCCCTCAAGCAACCCCTCCATCTGACTTCCTTGCACAGCTTCCTCCCCAAGACGATCCAGTTCAACCTCCCCGGTACTCCCCCCCAGCGCGGCCATCTTTCGCGACGCCGAGGCAGGGCCGCACGCGCTCCCGGCAAGACTCCTGCTGCTCCTCCCGCCGACATCCAGCCCAGCCTCTTCAGCTCCAAGCCCGACCTCACCCCACCGCACACGCCCGTCGACGACTCCGATTCGCAGTCCCCGGACCCCTTTTCCAATGAGGATGGCCTCCGCATCCAGTTCCCCCACGAGCTCGGCTCCCCCGACAAGGCCCTCTCCTCCCTCTGGGGCTCCCGCGTAAACCAGCCCGCCTCTCGCGCCCGCTCGCCGCCCCCGCCAGACCTCTTCGGTCACAACCGCACCATGCAAAAGGCCCGCGAGATGGGCCGTCAAGGCATCAGCCAGCCCAAGGCCCTGATGCGCAGCGAAAGCCACGACCGCGTCTTCTCCTCGGCTCCGTGGGAGGTCGTCGACGCCGACCAGGGCAACGGCGGCCTCCGTAACGCCGCAAAGGCGGCCGCTCGCGACGGCAAGCTCAACGACTACATGTGGGTTGGCACCCTCGGCATGCCCACCGACGCCCTCGATGGCTCCCCTCAGAAGCAGGCTATTGAAGATGCGCTGGCCACCGACCACGGCATGCTCACCGTCTTCTGCTCCGACAAGGACGTTGACGGCCACTACAGCCACTTTTGCAAGCAGATCCTCTGGCCCGTCTTCCACTACCAGATCCCAGACAACCCCAAGAGCAAGGCCTACGAGGACCACTCGTGGAAGTACTACGTCCACGTCAACCAGCACTTCGCCGACAAGATTATCCAGAATTGGAAGCGCGGCGACGTCATCTGGATCCACGACTATCACCTGCTTCTTGTCCCTGGCATGGTCCGCAAAAAGCTTCCCGACGCAAAGATTGGCTTCTTCCTCCACGTTGCCTTCCCTTCGTCCGAGGTCTTTCGCTGCCTCGCCGTCCGCGAGGAGCTGCTCGAGGGCATGCTCGGCGCCAACCTGCTCGGCTTCCAGATCCACGAGTATGCCCGCCACTTCCTCCAGACCTGCAGCCGCCTCCTCTCCGTCGAGGCCACTCCCGGAGGCCTGCAGCTCGAGGATCGCTTCGTCGACGTCGTCAACATTGCCATTGGCATCGATCCCGTCAGCCTGGGCAAGCACCGTGCCGAGCAAGACGTTGCGCGCTGGCTCCACATTCTCGAGGAGCGCTACAAGGGCAAGAAGCTCATCGTAGCCCGCGATAAGCTCGACCATGTGCGCGGCGTGCGCCAGAAGCTGCTGGCCTACGAGCTCTTCCTCAACAAGAACCCGCAGTGGCGCGAAAACACGGTCCTCATCCAGGTCGCTCTCTCGTCTAGCGACAAGTCGGACCTCGACGCCACCGTCTCCGACATTGTCACGCGCGTCAACTCGTCGTGGGCCAACCTCGCCTACCAGCCCGTCGTCTACCTCAAGCAGGACATTGACTACGCCCAGTACCTCGCCCTGCTGACCATTGCCGACGCCCTCATGATCACCAGCCAGCGCGAAGGCATGAACCTCACCTCTCACGAGTACATTTTCTGCCAAGACGGCAAGGTCGACCATCGCCGGAAGCACGGCTCACTCATCCTGTCCGAGTTCACCGGCACCTCGTCTCTGTTCAACGGCAACGAGCTGTCTGTCAATCCATGGGACTACCGTCAGTGCGCCGACGCCATCCGGCAGGCCCTCGAGATGGGAGACGAAGAGAAGCAGCGCCGCTGGGAGAAACTATACGAGTCGGCGGCGCGCCAGACGGGCTCCTTTTGGTTCGGCGAGTTGCTCTCACGCCTGGACCAGGCCTACGAGGAGCAGCAGAAGCGACATCAGACCTTTGTCCCCCGCCTGTCGATTGACGACGTCGCCACAAAGTACCAGCAGTCGTGCCGCCGCCTCTTCATGCTCGACTACGAGGGCACTCTGGTCAGCTGGGGCCCCGTGAACCAAATCATCCCCGTCAGCCCACAACGCACCCTCGACGTCCTCAACGACCTGTTGCTCGACGAGCGCAACATCGTCTATGTTATGTCGGGCCGGCAGCCGGAGGAACTGGACCATGTCTTTCGGCGCGTCCCGAACCTGGGCCTCATCGCGGAGAACGGGTGCTTCATCCGGGACCCCGGCGCGGAGAAGTGGGTCGAGATGTCAGACAATGCGCACATCCAAGAGTGGAAATCCTCGGTCAAGCCCCTGATGCGCTACTTTTTGGAACGCACGCCCGGCACCGCGATTGAGGAGCGGCACTGCAGCCTCCTCTTTCACTACGAAGGCGCCGAGGACCACGAGACGGCCTCGCGCCAGGCATCGGACTGCGCCAACCACGTCAACGATGCGTGCGAGGCGCAGCGGGTGCACGCCCTCGCCATGGACGGCTCCATTGTCGTCGAGTCCCTCGACTACAACAAGAGCACCGCGGCCCAAAAGGTGTTTGAGCGGCTCCGGGGCGGTTCGGGCTCGGCCGAGGGGCAGCAGGGCCCCATTGGCTTTCTCATGGTTGTCGGCGATGGCCGCGAGGACGAAAAGGTGTTCAAGTGGGCTAACAAGTTGGGGCAGCAAGGTACCGTCGACAAGGTGGTGACGGTGAGCCTCGGGAACCGCAGCACGGAGGCTGCAGCAACCTTGACGCAGGGCGTTAGCGGTAAGTGTATCCTGCTCCTCGCGTCGCCTGGGGCGCTGAAGACTGACCATGGTTGATGGTCCAGGTGTCCGCAGTTGCCTGCAGCGTCTCGCGTCTCTCTCGTAGGGGGAATGCAGCCGAAGTTGCCAGAGACTGGCGACGTGCAAATCTTCCCCTCTTTTCCTGTTTCCATGTTGCCATTTCCGGGCGTTGCGGTATTTTTTCCTCCAATATTAGCTCTCAGGAGGCGTATTGAAGTCGGGGAGTTTCATGTTTCCTCGTCTTCAAGTTTTTCGTTTTCTTTTTTTACAAAAAAAACAAATAATGCTCAGACGTCAAAGAAAGGCTTCACGGCGGCCTCACGGCACGCAGCGAACGGTCCACGGAGTCGGGCGCCATAGGAACTTTTTCTCTGCAATGGTGGGAGAAAGCACGGGCCATGGGTGTCACGAGAGGAAATCGAAACACGAAAGCGGCGGTTGGATGTCTTGGCTCGAATAGGCTGGTTTTCACCGGCGATGTCCGGTTGCTTTATAGCGAACTTGAGTGAGCGTTCAATGAAGATACGGAATCAATATGAGCGTGGTTAGCCGAACGGCGGCTCGCAGGAACACGCTCGATGCTCTTTGTCCTTGCGGAGCGCATGATTAGGTGGCTTCTGGGCTTGGAGGCTATTGGGGAGGTAGTTGATGTAAGAGGCGTGATTAGGCAGGTGTAATTCATGATATGTAGCATGCCATTCGGAGATTATTGATCGTTGCTATGGGCACGCTCCAACCAGTTCCTGGGGACATGCAGCATCAATCTGGTGGGACCCCCGAACCTTAGACGTCAACTTTCACGGGCTCTCATCGCCATCAAACTTGCCAGACAACCCGGTTCTTTCCTGCCCGTCCCGCATTCCTTTGGACGGGATGCCCGTCCATGTATAGAAAGCCTCCGCCGCATGTCTTTCCTCGTCCGACCCTGCGCAATCAACAGGCCAGCCAAGCACGCTTCCGAGTCAACTCCCTCTCCACCGTTCGTTACATTCAAGGCTAGGATCGCTGGGACCCAGTCCCGCTTTGCCGGATGACTTGGCTTGCAGAGTCCCGCCGAATTAGCTAATGGTCATGCACCAGCGTCGAGTCCGTTCGGGATGCTCGGTCTTTTCGTCCGTTCGGGAAGCCGGCCGGGAAGAGCAACGCAAAGTGCCATCGGCAGGAGGCGCCTTCTGCAGCTAGCGATGCTATGGATGGTGCCTTGCGGCCTGGGCAAGAGGGCGGCATCGTCACATGTGCAGCTGTTGGGTGAGAAATATAAAAGGTCGTTGACCTGACGTGATTGTCGTCTTCGGCATCCATGATTATTCCGGGTCTGCGAGGAGTGCCCAAGGTCGAATATCTTATTCAAAATCAGCCACACTTGGGCATAACCCATCGACGTTCACCATGTTTCTCCTGCAAAGCACCCTCCTCCTGGGCGCTCTTGGGCTGCTCTTGTCAGTCTCCCCCATCACCGCCAGCCCCATCTCCTCCGCAGTGGCACCGTCGTCAATCAACCTCACGCCGTCTGACCACGACGAGCTGCTCTCCCTCGCCGCGCGCGGAGAGGCCAGCCGCGGCCCCGTGCCCAAGACAAACAGCGACGTTGGCTTCGACATGCTGTACGCGCTCCTCACAAAGGGGCTCGGCGCTAAGCTGACGCAGGGTACAATCACCAAAATGCTGCTCAACGAGCCCGTGATTGAGACGCCGGCCATGGCGCGATACGTCGTCGAGGCGCGGCTGGCGGTGGAGAGGGGCGATCAGAAGGCAGCATTTCAGGCCATGAGGAAGTGGAGTGCCGAGGTGGACAAGGAGCTTGGGCTGTCCAAGTAGGCGGCTGAGTCTTGGAATGCTTTCAGGGGGGTGCGGAACTACAAGTATGGAAACCTTCGAAGGGGGCAGCTCATTTTACGATGAAGCAAGGAAGCGGCCACCTACGTGCGAGAGACGAGGAAAAGGGGGAGACGGGACAGCCAGGAGAGCTTCCTGAAACTTCACAGTCTGGCCACGGAGTACAAGAGATTGCATTTCTGGATGTTGGATAACTAACTAGAGATGTGATTTATAGATGGGAATTCGATGCCTTTTCGTTGCAGTTTGAGGAAGAGAAGTTTCTGAGGAGAGGCCAGCCGACCATCTTTGTGTAGGAGCGCCTTTAAGAAACGGCACAAACAAGAGACGAATCGTGTCCTGTCCGGTCTCGGGGAGGGGGGGGGGGCTTACGACAAGGAGCTGAAAGAGAAAGCAGACCGTGCCGACGCGGATGTTGGGTAGCGCGTAAGCCGGCTTCCTCGGCGCCATGCAGCGGTGCGGCACGTCCGGACCGTCCATACATACCTGAGGGCGTATGGAAAGGCTTGCCTCGTAATGGCGGGTTGGTCCCGAGAGATTCTGTCCCACACGGGGGTGAATATCACCGCGTGGGGTGGAGAGGCTGTCGTAGTCAGCCCAGGTGCTGGGGACGCCGAACAGGAGCGAGGGTGGTAATTATGGTCCAGATGCTTTGCCCGCGTTTACACCAAAGGGGGCAACATGAGATCGGAGAGGCCGAACAGGAGCGAGAGTGGTAATTATGGCCCAAATGCCTCGCCCGCGTTTACACCAAGAGGGCAACATGAGCCCGGAAGCCGCCTTTCCTACCTCGGCCTGCAATTGCCCGTCGGATACCCGGACATGCACGAAGTCATGCGGTAGCATCAAGGCCCGAGTGCAACCCTACCAGGCTGCAGACATTCAGGTCTGCCGTGCCGTGCAAGAACGATGGCTCGCCGTCCGTGGACAATGCAGGGCTTGTGTCCCGCGTTGGGCTGACGACGCCAATGCCGTGCCTCGTCGGGTTGGCTTGGAAGCATTGATGGGCGGACACGGTAGGCCTGGCCAGCCAGAGGTGCTCAGCTGCCCCAGTGTCTCCGGGTATCGGATTGGCATTCATCGTCTGCTGCAGCGGATGCGGGACACGGCGTCGCCAAGTGGTGCTGTGCTGCTCTTTGGAGTGTTTGGCCGATGGTGATGAAGTCGATTCGCGACTTTGGGCCATTGGCGACAAGGAAAAGCCTATTATTTCGCAGCTTTATTAAGCGTACTGTACCCTACAATGATTCAATGAATTGTCTTGGTGGGCTTATTGTTATAAGTTGTTAGTTGTTATAGGCTTAAAGCAAGCAGCCTGAAACGGCGGCGGCCCGATCGGAGACGGATAAAGAGCCGGTCCCGCTGCATCGCGCTCTCCGATGCCGGCACTCGCTCCGTCACTCACCTCGACTCCCCTCTCCCACATCTCAGCATCCCACCAACAACTCCCCTTGATCGTCAAAGGAGGCCATCTCCGGCAAGCCCACGGCCGCAGTCGACCAACCAGTCAACCTCAAAGGCGTCCCCATACCTCCCAGCTCGGCGGAACAAGGAATCCGACATTGGCAGCGAGCGAAACTTTTTCCTCATCCTCAGTCGAGACAGATCGCCCATCATGGCCGCCTTCCCGCCGCCGCCGGTCAACACGATTGACTGGTCCAACGTCGGCTTCAAGGTCCGCGAGGGTGAGTCTCCCTGTGGCCCAATGGGCAGACGGAAAACCCGTCGCTGACTCCTCCCCAGTCAACGGCCACGTCGAATCCACCTTCTCGAGGTCCACGGGCCAGTGGACGCCCCTGCGCTTCGTCGCCGACCCCTTCATGCGCATCCACGGCATGGCTCCGGCCCTCAACTATGGCCAGCAGGCCTACGAGGGCCTCAAGGCCTTCCGCGGCCCCGGCGACGCAGACATCGCCGTCTTCCGCCCGGACCGCAACGCCCTGCGCCTCCAGCACTCGGCCGACGTCGTCTCCATGCCGCGCGTCCCCGTCGACCTCTTTCTCCACGCCTGCCGCGCCGCCGTCGCCCTCAACGCCGCCTTTGTCCCGCCCCACGCCACCGGCGCCGCCCTCTACGTCCGGCCCCAGCTCTACGGTTCCAGCGCCCAGCTCGGCCTCACCGCCCCCGAAGAGTACATCTTTGCCGTCTTCGTCATCCCCACGGGCGTCTACCACGGCACCGACCCCGTCAAGGCCCTCATCCTCGACGAGTTTGACCGCGCCGCCCCCAACGGCGTCGGCAGCGCAAAGGTCGGCGGCAACTACGCCCCCGTCCTGCGCTGGAGCGACAAGGCCCGCAGCGAGGGCTTTGGCATCACCCTGCACCTCGACAGTGCCCGCCACGAGGACATCGACGAGTTTAGCACCAGCGGCTTCATCGGCATCCTCACCGGCGAACACGGCCAAGACGACGTCACCCTGGTCGCCCCAGACTCAAAGTGCGTCATCGACAGCGTCACCAGCGACAGCATCCTGCACATTGCCCGCAGCTACGGCTGGAAGACGGAGAAGCGGCCCATCAAGTACGCCGAGCTGCCGCGTTTCGCAGAGGTCGTCGCCGCCGGCACCGCCGCCGCCCTCGTCCCCATCCGCTCCATCACCCGCCACCACTCCCCGGGCCTGTGGCCCGCCGGCCCTCGCGTCACCAGCGATGCCCAGTCCGAGACGGTCACGTACATGCCCGACTCGCAGGGCGAGGCCGGACCCCTCTGCCTCAAGCTGCTGACACAGCTCAAGGCCATCCAGCTGGGCAAGGTCGACGACGCCTTCGGCTGGCGCGTTGCCGTCACCGAGGCCGACAAGAAGATTGACGGCGCCCCTGCCGGCGACATTAACGGCTCTGCCCAGACGGTGGATCAGCTCAATTAGCTGAGAGGAACGGCGGCGTCCCACAATCCACGCGCGGAAAGGGGGAAAGAAAAGGAATGAAGAAAAAGAGAGAAAAGAGCGAAAGAGTGGGAATACCAGCGCTGACGAAGAACGAGATCAAAGTAGAACGTGGAATAAAAAAGGCCGCGCCGCGTGGCTTGTGCCTGCATATCTTGTTTCTAGAGCAGCATTAACGAATGGTCAGGAACTAGGTCGGCCGCAAGCCCGCCATTGTCACATTCGTGAGTGGACCAAGATGCAGCGGCTTCCGAACCCGCCTGGCGAAGTGATTCGTTGAAACCCACGAGGGGCACACATTATTTTACTCGGTTCTAATAAGATTTCAGGCGCCCTGCCCGGGTCTATCCCGTCGTCATGGGATGGGTCCGCGTTTAGAATCATGTTGGTGGAAGAGTAAGTAACTCAAAATATACAGAGAAATACCGGTCGCCTTCATCCAGGCCCCTTCTTGTCTTTGGTCTCGTCAACAAGGTCTGATGGATATGATGTACTCGCCGCATCATACAGATGCCACCCGAGCGGCAGGATAAACCCTCGTTGTCGTCGTGATCATGATCTGGACTTCTACTCGCCCGCTCTCCCTGCTTTCCCCCTCTCTTTGCCTCGCCCCGGCATAGTTGCCGTGTCGTGTATCTGGACCCTCAAAGGCGCCGCAGCTAGTGGTAAGCGTCAATGGCCGCCCCAAAGTTGTCATCGATGCCCTTGATAAGCTGCCTGGCAATCGACTGCAGCTCTTTAGGCACCTTGCCGACAACCTTGCTGCTGAAGTCATTCGAGGCGCCGCGCTGGACATCAAGGGTAATGAGGATGAGCGGCGTGACGAACAGGTGATCAAACTTGGGGCGGGCAGAGACGAGGGCGTCGAGCGTCTTGTTGACAGTCGACGCCAGATCTCCCGTGGCCGTGGCGACGGTCAGGGCCTCGTCGAAGCTCAGCGGTGTCGATACGTCGGCCGTGTGCGCGCCGTGCTTGAGGGCGACGAGCAGCCCGCCCGCCTTGCCGACAATGGGCAGCGCGCCCAGCAGGTCGCCCGACCACGACGAGACGGCGTCGCCGAGGGCCGCCGTGTCGCGGCCGATGGTCTTCATGGCGTTGCGGATGGTGTTGCCGTCGCCGAGGACGGAGCCCGCCAAGGCGGAGGCGGAGACGACAACTGAGGCGACGCGCATGTTGGAGGCTGGGGGAGAAGGCAGCGGCACATATGTGTTTACGGAAGAGAGAAGAGGCAGGCAGTTGAGAGAAGGAGAGGAGGGATGTTTCCAGGTGTTTTTCAAGGGGCCTGGTTGACTGAGGTAGCTTGGCCGCGTGGGGGACAAGACGAGACGGAGCGATGGGGGAGACGGGAGAAAGACCAGGGGAACTGTTTATCTTCCTATGGAGAGCATAGGGTGATCCTCCTCTCGCAGCCGAACCAAGGGGGATCGCCGTCATCTTTATACGCTGGCCATCGAGACGGCACCAGTCTTTGGACATGCTGCAGCCGTACGACTTTTGATTATTATTTCTCGAGTCGCCCCTACGCTGCCATGCTCGTATCCTCCGCTTCTCGAGCCCGGATCCCTGCAATAGCCTCGCCGTCCCGCAGCGAGTCCAGAGCCTCTACCATGCCTGTCTTTGGCGTGCCGGCTTCGGGCATGTACGTGCGTGCATGTATGTACACCTGGTAGCTTCTCCTCCTCAACCGCATCCTATCCTGTACGGTACAGGCAGGAACGACATATGATTATCCCAGTCCTCCCGTCCAGATCTCGGAGCCTAATCCTCAATGCGGCAGTTGCCCAGCGGAGACTGCATCCGCCCGCCTGCACCCCTGGCAGGTGTGGACAGGACGGGCAGCTGTACGTTGAGGTCATGGCTGTGACGAGCTCGTATTTCCTCATAAAGCCTTTCCAGTCTTTTGTGCGCTAAATGGGTGAAAACCGGAGGGCTTGGCTCAGAACCCAGTTGCTCCAGCCTCAGCCTAATACGACGTCTACATGTAATTACTGGTCTTATAAGTGGCGAAACAAACCGCTTGAGCTCATACCAGCAGGGGCTTTTATAATGTGCTCTTTATCAAGTACGGCAATTGAAGCCAAAAATCCCCATGAAAAAGGAGCCGTTGCATACAAATAAACACATAGAGAGAGAGGAGGAGGCACAAGACACCAAAGAGGACAGGCATCGTCGTCGAGCAAGACGAGCGAACGGTCAAACGGTGCAGCGGCACGACCCAAAAGCCCGTCCAATCGCGCGACCTGCCTGGATCGTCCAAGGATCGACCGCCCCATCCCATCTCATCCCTGCACCTCGCCCCGGCTCGCTTGCCCACGGACCCGGTCACCCGACGTCGGTGCCGAGGTGGGAAAAGGCTGGGAGTCCGGGGTAGAGACTGACCGGAGCCGCGGTTGTGGAGAGGGAGATGGCTGGCCACTTGCATATAGTTTGCATGTGGGTGTGACGAGGACGTTTGTGCTGCCCAAGGCCTGTTCATGACATCATTTTTATGTGAATGGATTGCCCTTTCTTCATCTCTTTTCAGCTATCGAACGATGCTCTCAGCCCATGACATGGCGCCTGGGACGGCGTAAACAGGACCGGACCCATCCCAATACCACGTCTCAGCTCAACCAACGCATGGCAAGGCGGGTCCCGCCAAGCGCGTGCGACATCGACATGTCTGGACGATTCCGTCTTGCCTGGGTATTGTTTCCCCCATCCCGGCAGGGCACCTGCGGCTACGGAGCTCGGAGGATATATCACGCACGAAATGCATGCATGCCAACTCGTGCGTATGCATGTCTGCGGGGACAAAGGGCCGTAAACGGGAGCAATCACGAAATAACACGATTGATAGCCAATAATCAGAAGAGATCATGCCACGACCGATACGATATTGTGAAGACCATTGCACCAGCATAAGTGGACCGAACCGGCTGTTTTATCGTCGGTGGTTGTTCCCAGTGCTGCTACCCGTCTCAGCGAGGGATGGACAGGTACTGGCTCGAGGCAATACGGCAGTGAAGATGAGTCTTGTCCGCGAGCCAAGGACGCTGCAATCGACGACCCTCGCGGCCCGTGTTAACAGAAGTAGGATCTTTGGGTCGCCGAGGCAATAGAAAATTACTCGCCAATTCAATAGTCTTGATTTATTCGTTGCTTTTTAATTTTATCCAATTTTTCGAACTCGAAAAAAACACTGCCGAGCGCCCTCACTGTTATCATCGACTGCGTCCTCCGTGTAGCTGCTCCGATGAGCGGCCCCACATCGGCGCCGGCTCCGACAGTCGGTGACTTTAACTGGGACAAACTGGCGGCCAAGCACAACCGCACTAGGATTTGACACAAGTTTACGTCCCAGAGTTTATGCCAGTTCTCAGCATCTGTTCGTAGAATGCAGAAGTGGCCTGAGGCCTATTCCATTCTTTTTTTGCTACATGATGGCTGACATACCCTCAACGGCTTTAGGGACATCCTTTCTCGATCAACCCTCGCATCTAACAGCTCTCCATCAAATTACCCATGCTCTCACAATGTCCCCTTGAAAACAAGTATACCATATGCAGATTCATTTCAAGTTCTCAAGGTCGCAAAGTTCCCCGTGCATCGACGTGAGAGATGAACTCTCCCCTCTTGTGGCGCTCGAGCTGGGCGTGCCAGAACGGAATCTGATGTTGCAAATTCAACACAGGCCAGATCTTCTCCAGTCCCTCGCCTTTAGCATCCTCAATTTCTTCCAGGACGCCGCTGACTCTTTCGAGAAGGGCTGCAAACTGCGGTGCTGGAAGCATCGCAAGCTCGATGATCTTGCAGACGAGCTCGGCCCAGTGCTTGATAAAGTCTTTATCAAAGCTCATCTGGGGGAAGCGAAACTCATAGGTCGATTGCGTGCCTTCAAAATCAAAGTCCGGTCGTTTGTCTTCGCCACTGGACTCTTCATCGGACGAACTGTCGTCCACGTCAAGTCGACACTTGCCTTGACCGGGTTCGCGCAAGTGGAGTGCGATTCCTGCTCGGGCCCCGCTGCGCAACACAAGCCCATTTCGAAGTTTAGCCAAGGTCTCTGAGCTCCAGATCAACTTGATAGTGCCTTGAAAATGCAAGGCGTTGTCGTAGTTCCACTCACGGGAAGGCATGGTTTTGCTTGTCCAACTCGAAGGCAAGTGCTCAAGCATGGTTGGATGGCTGCTTTTTGTCAACATGTCCTCGTAGAGGGTTCCCGGCGCGAATCTCCGTGCGAAACATGAAGAGTCGCCAATAGATTGGGCCGAGAAGAGTTGACTCCTTGTGAATGGAAGCAACCTGAGCATCACAGGCTGGTCCAGTAACGCGGCCAGCGTGAACACCTTCTTAGCATGCATGAGGCGCATGCCGCCCTCGACGCCCACATGAACGTGCATGCCGCAGGAACTGTTGGCCACAACTTGCATCTTCGTCTCCCGAAGAGCCGAGAGGACCTTGGACACTTGAGGCAGGCCAGCGTCCAACTCGCTCATTCCGAGTATCGGGGTGCTGATCTCCAAACCGGTCCAGTGTTCTTGGCCTCTTCCCGACAGAACTTCCTTCTGTACGAAGAAATACCGAAACCCCGGATGGACGTTGCTCGGCTGAGACGGTCTTTCTTTGGAGAAGATCACCATCCCCGGGCAAATGTCAGCGGCCGGGGATTCATCGCACAATGCGCAGGTCGAGTGATTTCTTCTGTGACTAAGGCATCGGGCAGCAACGGGAATGCCCTCAGCAAGGCGGGCGATTTCTTTTGCGAAGGCTTTCCTGGTGAGGGTCATAAGTTTGAAGTTGCTTATGATGCCATCTTGGGAGCCGGTTTGGGTGAGGAACTCCAGTTCCACCCCAAACGTGATATCTTGGCGACTGTTTTCCGCCATGCTCGTGTCCGAACCTGGTAGAGACGGTAGTATCTGTCTGTCTTGATGGCTCTGGAAACTGGCAACAAATCGTCTGGAGGCAGTCAGGAGGTTTCATTATTTAAATCGTAGTCGGGGCCGTATATAGAGCCGTTTGTTCAGAATCGTCTTTGCTTCTGCACCTGACAGCTCCCACACTTCTCTGTACCAGGAATTGTACGAGACGTGAGCCAGCAGTATGCGTTTGCTCAAACTTCTACGTTACTACTAAGCGAAAGCATCCTGGAAGATAAAGAATAAACGAGACTAGTTCATTCTTGGAGCGCATGTAGTGCTTACATTTGAATTAATTACTCGAGTCTCGGCAACTGGTTTCGCGTTTCCCACGCAGAACAAAGGCTCGCAAGAGCTTAACCATGCGATGCAAAGAATCCCTTCAGAACACAAAGTGAACACCATTGAAAATCCTGCGGATCATTTCGCTTTAATGAACACGCTATTTTCCCCTTCTTTGCTGAACATCAAGCGTTTACTCGACCCTACTGGATCACTTGATCCTGAATCCCTCGCAAGCACTAGAACACTACAGTAGGTTTGAAGTACTTGAACACTAGAATAGGTTTGAAGTACCTGTGGGAGTCTTTAAAGGCTGCCACCTGTTGCACGAGCGTGGGATGAAGGCTGAACAGACTGGTCCAAGAGTCGAGACCGGCAAAGGTGCGATGGCGACACTGTGGGTCTGACCGGCGGCGAACCCCTTCAAAACGAGAACAAGGAGAGAGTATTGATAGGGGCCACGGCGCGGGCGGTTTTGGTGTGAGTATTGTCAGCTAAACGACGTGGAAACGTTGGGGTTACCTACTTTTGCACTGAAGACTCGCCAAAGTCATCTTAGCATTTGTCGGGAAACATGACGAACCATTATTATAATACTCATCAGCTAAGACACTGCGTGTGGTCCCTTGATGTACAATTTCTTTATTTCAGCTAGATTCCAAAGTCCACAATACGAGCCCTTTAGCAAGTGGCTCAATCTCAGGTTCGACGCAATTTCCATTCCGGGCACTGGCTTTATCAAGAGAGCTTACATACTTAAAAAGCTTGACAGTGATTCTTTCATGGGCGCCGTTTTTCTGCCTCTTTGTAGGCTCCCGTATCTTCTTCAGAGGGGACGCAGAGCAATTCCCTTGTCGGCAACTTAGCCTGGGAGCCCTCCTTGGCTTGTGCAAATTTTCGGCCAGGAGTTTCCTCTTGCGCAGTTATGGCATGTAGAGCCAAGGGAAATGAACCGTTATAGCCCAAGGAATCACCGTTATAGCCCGCGAAAGCAACGGCCCATTGCTCTAACGTCTTGTCCTTGAACTTGAACTTTGCCAGGTTTTCAACATTGCCTACAAGCTGTAGCTGCCCAATAGGCACGTTATATATCTCGTATCTCGGCTTGTAGTAGGCATTCTCAATCTATCTCAATTCGGGACGACTTTTTGGTCCCTCTCTCCTTTGCGCCCGTAGCTTGAAACCTATACAAGGCTATCGCTGCGAAGGCTTGCCAGAATGAGCAACCAGGCTTCATGCTGATCCAAATATATCCCTCTCAAGGCGGAGAACTTCTCCTCGAGCCCATACTGGAGCTGGAACTCTGATGCGTCCCGATCTATCATGCTTGGGGCGGGGTGGATCTACGGGAGATCGTAAGTCCTATCTGGGAGCTGCCTATCCAACGACTAAAAACGACGGTCCTTGCCCTCCCCTTCTTTGTAATAGTCACAGTCTTGGTACGAGGTGAAAAGAAGTAAGAATATGTCTCTCCCAAAATTGTAGGAGATTCGGCTTCACAACCGTGGAGCCTTTGTGTATCTATCGTATCTGAGAGGGTAGGACTTGTCACACAACAGCTTGGCACTCCTGTTCCCAGGCCCCTTTGCATTCTCGTAAGAGTCTTGCTTCTATTCTATTTATGACAGCCTCTATACCTCCGAGGCCCGCCTTTCTAACCAACCGCAAAAATAACGCGGATCACGTCTACGAGCATCAATCATAACAAGGCGCGCTGACCCAAGGAAAGGCGTGTTGAGCAACTGGCTTGTCCTCGGGTGTAATGGGCCACTCCTCGAAGCCGACAGCCTTCGATCGTATGATCAAGACTAACTCTAGAAGGCCTTACTATGGTGTCTGTGGCAGCCAAACCCATGGCTCTTACACAGACTTCTTCCCACAAAGGACCAGCTGCCTTTTTATCCTCAAACCTGCCAGGAGCTACAACAGGAGCAGCCGAATCTGAGATTGGGCAGCAGCTCCTTACCTGCTCGCAAGGCAGCAGTAGTTGTCATACCCGGGCAGAAAGCTTCACTTACCTGACAGCCGACTCGGGCCAAGCCAGCCGCATAAGGGCGGCGAAGAAGAGTTCTGAGGGAGCCCGAGGGAGCCCGAAGGTACTATTGCGTACTTGCTCCCCTGGGGTGGGTATTTTTACGTAAAAAAGGGCGTGCCTAGGTTCTATAGGGCGTCCTTTGAAGTTGGAAGTTAAATGTTAAATATGCTGGGTGGGATGGCAGACTATAGAACTTCGTGATACCGCCAAGGTGTTGCAGACTCAATAACTGCCGAGCACGTGACTCCTTATCCTTTAGAAATATACTTTGTTCATCTACGGATGGAGGTACATTTGCAGCTATCTATCCGTCATTATGTCAGTTATTTAGCACCTTACAGCTGTAGCTTAAAGCTAAAATAGTCATGGAACGCAGGTTATAACTGGTTATAAGCACGTTCGCGCTGTAGCAGGACCTGTTATCTTTAAGTAAACGACTAGTTATTTTCATGTCAAAAAATGACCATATATAAGCCCTATACACGTATTCCGGCCTCTCCTGGACCAAATAGATCCCGAGTGCCCTGCTTCCCTCCTCGCAGAAAAGCAGGCGAGGCCCCGCTCAGCTCATGAAGCGACTTTTCGTGCTGACATCACGGTCCTTTATTAGCTCCCAAGCGGTGCGGTGCAGAGGACAGCTTGGCCAGCCTAAGTACATGCCTATCAGTTCAAAAGCTCTCTGCATTTTGACTTTTGGACCACTTACAACAGGAAGGACGCAGCAGCGAGATCGCTGGCCCTTGTCGGCGCAAATATCCCTGAAGTCGGATGGGCCGCGAGGAACCTTGGATGCTGCAATAGGTGTCAGGAGGGTTCATTGAAAGCGAAGCTTCAAGCTTACGCGTTTGGCAGTCGAGGTCCACCAAGCCGAGGACATCAGTCGCGCAGCACTGAGCAACGGTGAAAAGGCCACCAACAGTGCATAGCGGACCACTACCGCCATCGCCATCGCCGCCGCCGCCGCCAGTGGGCACGGCGAGGACTCTGGAAAAGAGGGCGGCAAGAAGCAGAAACTTCATCGTGAAGTGAGAGCTTGAGGAACTTGTCGAGATGATTCGAGTTGATAGGGGGCTTGGCTGGCTGTCGAAGCGTGGCTGAATGGCAAAGAAATGAGAGCTCTGTACAGGAGGATTCGTGATATTTATACTTCAAGAGAGGGCAGTGTTTCTATCATGGTATCATTAATGACGTCTGGATCCGGGCTGGCTACGGAGAATCACTTCCCGAGGGGAGGGCCCGAGATGCCGTCTCCTTGCACAAGACGCCTCCTGATGCATGGAATCACATATGTTCTCTTGGAGTGGCCTCTCGCCGAGGACCCTTCATATGGCCAGCCGCCGCCACATTTACTCCGCGAATACCTGCTCAGCCAAGGTAGCCAGGCATGACAATCGATGCACAAACTAGGTGATGCAAACCCAGAAAGATGGTTACGTCTTGCCGTTGCTTCCCACACCCCTGGCCTTGCAGAAGACGGCATTATACGATAAAGCGTATGTTTGCCATGCACTCTTCCGGCCTTGTCGGTTGGCACTCGAGTGTGGTCTTCGATGTTCCTTCAGGCTTGCTAAATGTACGCTCGCACCATCAGGTGGACATCTGCTCGTCTCACCATAGCATGGAAGCATGGAGTAGTCCTTGAAAATTTTGCACGCAAGACAGTCATTACAGGAGTTGGAGTCTTCAGAGAACGTCTATGGCGTGCTCTCTGAGTCATGCATATTGAAATGTCTGGAAGCTATATGTTCAGTTAAGAGGAACCAGTTGCATCGGCTCTCATGACCGCAATACGGAATATGGGATCGATCCAGCTTGGATTTGTGACAAAGAAGGGAGTCGGCCAGACCGACGGTACACACCCTCAAACTGAATGCGTTTGGAGGCCACCTTAAGAGACGCACCTCCGTGTCATCAAATGCACCCGAGAAACAGGAATTTACACGCAAACCATGAAGAAGAATGGGTTAAAGCAATGCATTCATCGTCAGTTACACGCAGTCCATCCGGTGACCGCAGTGGACGGGGCAACGCTAAACTCAACGCAGTAAGACAGAGGCAGAACGAGGTAGTTGAAGCGGCCTCACGTGGGGATTAATCCTGCGAGAGCCATGCAATATCACACTACGTCGGCCAATGCATTCGTTTCGTGACTAAACGGGTTCGCCCAAGGGACAGGTCGTAATTTTCGTAGAGGCGCGAAGGTGACGGGGCATCCCCCCCCTTTCTTGATGGAGCCTGACTTGGGCCGTGTAGTTCGCCTATTTTCCTGACTGAAGGAAAGATATCGATTCCTCCACGGCCCGACCACCCGAGAACAGGGTGACAGCGCATGTCGCATGTTTCCTTGACTCAAGGATAGTTATCGATTCCTCCACAGCCCGGCCACCCGAGAATAGGGTGACAGCGCATCCTGATTCGCCGAATGGGGTTCCGCGATGACCCTCAGCCGGATCTGCAACCCTCCCGCCCCCTGTCCTTGGAGGAGCCATCTCTTGATTCTTCTCCACATTCAGCTGCCTTCTCAACCTCCAGAGCTTCCACATTCGACACCCTGGCGATACCGATACGCTCTAAGACCATCATCGCGGGCGGAAGAGGACATATCCGTTCCATGAGCCCTGAATAAAGCGGTGAGTCGCATAGGAGGCTACGAGTGCGTCAGAGTCCTGTTTATTTGCGCCATGCTGGGGCCATGCAAGCGTGAGCGGCCCGGACGGGCTCGGAGTGGCACCCCTAGCTCCAGAGCACCTTCGGCTGGATGGGTGCTTCCATGCTTATTTATCACCGGGTGAGGAGGGCTACCAGCTTTGGCTAGAGCTTGTTCTCGGCCGATTCTCCTCCGCGACACTAGGACATAAAGGGCAGCTCGGCCAATATTCACCCGCGAGGGTGTCACAGCTTGGCCGGCCTCCTCAACCCCACAAACCGCTCCCATCGGCGTATGAAATGAACTGCTTGGCGGCTTGGCACCAGTGAAAGTAGCCTTTCTAACAGGCCACGGAGCGTGCTATTAAGATCCATGCGCAATAGAGATCAGGTATCGGAATTGGAGGGACGCTCGGGTGAGGTCTCGCCGTGGGCGCCTCAGCAGATATTCCCCATCACGCCATGTGCCGAGCCTGACCCTGCAGTTTCAATACTTGCACTTAGCTGTGTGGATCAAGAAGACCAGGGGGCCTGAAGATGATTCCACGTACGTACATGGAGTAGCTAGCTTTGCAACTCATGCAATTCGGTTGAATTTCCGGTCGTAGATAACTTGCGGTATCTTCACATCATGACAACGGCACCTCTTGGGCGAAGCTTACCCCCCTTGAGGCGACTGGGCGAACGGCAAAGAGGCATGCAAAAAGCAATTTCTTCCAATGTACTTTCTTCGTACATGAGGTGTACAGTTCATGCTGCTCCGTCAGCCCCTGTAAACGGATCAGTCGACGCCACCGCATGCATATCCATGTTCGGCAAGTTCCAGCGCTGACGCTCTAGTCAAAAGTCAGTATCTGGTGTCTGGGTTTACACGTGCAGGCACTGTACTGTACGTTGGCTCGTTCCATATTCCGCCGGACGAGTCTGTGCTGTAGCGATCATTGGCCGTGGCCCCTCACGGATCCTCGATACCCGATACGCTACTGTGTGTAAGCCTCGCTTGAGGAGATTCACAAACTTGCTTCAGCTCCCACTGAAAACAAGGTTTTATGCACACCTCAGCCCGTTGTGGTTGGGATTCGGCTCGTCGCTGTCAACGGCTCGGCTGCGGGCGTCCTGTGACCCATTTGTGCCCGTGCTTAATCTCGATGGTCCGGGGAGGGAGGGCATTTCAGCCGCGCTGAACTTAACGAATTAAGAAGGTGAACGCATACCGGCCGCATGATACATGTTGTTGCACTGCATCTTGGTTGATGGCTTCGTGTAGCCGTTGCTGCGGCCTTGAAAGCAATTCTATCTCACCTGTGAGCAAGGGTGCCGAGATGGTGGGCAGGCGAGTCAGGCGGACAATATGGAGAGGTCCTGTGTGAGAGATAATAAAGGACTATAGGGAGACTTTGAGGGACAGGCGAATGGGCAGAAATGATGTGCCCACTCCGAGCCTCGTCTTCAACCTCGGCAGTGAAGCGCTCTAGACGGCCTTCATTCCGCTTATGCGGTCTTTGTCCGGCTTTATAAGATCGTTGCTTGAGTTATGCAACCTTAAGTAAACCCCGGAACGATGGCCGGAAATCGAGACTTAGGAGGAGAACCGGGGCTAATTAAGTTTCCGGCAACTAGGATGCTAGGTTATATTAATATAGGTTACTAAGATAGTTAGTAACTAAAGGTTTACGAACCCGCGCCCTATATTATAATATAGAGGGATTAATATATATATTTTAATTAATAGCAACTTAATTATATCTTCTTAGCTAACTTTTTAAAACTAAGCCTAAACTATAAAAAAAGCATATGCCTAGAACCGTCGTAAATAGCGTATTACGCCCCCCTAAGTGCAGCCTCGTGCAGCTACTAGCGGGTGCGTAATATACTACCGAAGATTGCGAATTAAGCGAGGTTCTCCCCTATATAGGCGGAAAACTCTTCCCTACCCTCGCTAACTAAGGGTATATACCCCCCGCTAACGGGACCTAGCCTAGACCTAACTTAGGGCCCCGGCCTAGACTTAAAGAGGGCCCCTTTAACTTTAACCCCTTAAACCTAAGGGCCGAAATAAGTACCTTAGAGGCTAAGGCCTACTTAAAAGAAGCTCTAGAAGGCTAACGCTTTCTAAGGACCTTAAAAGAAAGACCTAGGACCTAAGACTAGGACTTAAAGGATATTAAGATAAAAGATAATACCTAGCCTATATTAAAGACTAGCCTTTTTAGGCCTAGCTTAGCCTTACCTTAAGCTAACTACTTCTAGCCTAACTAGCCCTTAAAGTAAGTAAAAAGGCAAAAGAGAGCTACCCTTAGTAGCCTTATTAACCTTATACCTATCTAACCTATATTTTAATACTTATAGTAGACTTAGCCCTAGCCCTAGCACCCCTTCCCTAGGGACCGGGCTTAGGGCTTTCTTTAGTAGGCCCTTTAGGCCCTTAAGAAAGCTTAAAAAATTAAACCCGTTTATAAGACCCTTATAAAAAGGCTTAAGAAGGTAGTTATAAGGACCCTAGACCGCTAATAGCACTTATAATAGCCCTTATACTAGCCTAAGGCCGCTTAGTAGCTTAAGGCTACTTAAGGAAACCTTAAAGCGAGCTTATAGGCTAAGGATACTATAAAGAAAGCGCTTAAGGCCCTAGCTAAGGCCCTAGCTAAGAGGAACGTAAAAGAGGACTTCTAACTTATTTTAAAGCTAAAAAAAAGGATTACTAATACTAACTATTAGCCTTATTACTCTTTATAGTAAGCTTAATAAGGCTATAAAGGAACTAGCTATATTAGCTCTATTAAATTAAAATAAAGTAATATAGTTATAATAATAAAGGCCCTATATATAGTAAAGAAGCTTTTAAAGTAATAGGAGAAGTAGTCCTTATACCTTAAGGAGCTACCTATTAAATTAGCCGACCTTCTTACTAGCTAAACTAAGCTAGTAGCCTAGAGCGTCCCTAACCTCTTAAAGACCCTTATTATTATATACTAGTCCCTTAGTATAGGGCTAGTACTTTAACCTTACTATTTACTTAGATTTAGTATAGGTTTAATAGGTAATTAAATAGACTAGCTACTATATATTATTATATATATTAAACATAGACTAGCTACTAGTCTTATAAGTTAAAGTAAGAGTAGTAATAACTATCTATATTCTTCTCTACCTACTTAAGGTTTAGTAAGTTCTCTATCTTTTATATATACTATAGCGAGCGTAAGACCTTATTTAGGGCTTTAACTAAGTAATATCTTAACCTTATAATTATATAATAGTAGTATAGTATATTAGCGGTATTTCTTAGTATTTTCCTTAAGTAAGTATAGGTATTTCTTTATAATTTCCCTACTATAATCTTATAGTAACTTCTTAGGGAAATATTAATATA